AGATGATAAGATATAACGTGTTTGGTATCATGACCTTAAAAGAGACTCCCAATGTTTGGTGATTTTATCAGAGGTTAGAGCAACTCCTAATGGTATTTCAAATATTTCATTTGAAGGAAGTTACAAATGCTTCAATAAGAATTAATTAAGAGGATAGTGTTTCTACTCTGATATAAGACACTATCAATGATTAAGAAGATCTATCAACTATCTTCAAAAAGAACAAAGAACAAAGTATGTCACAAACATAATTCATTGCATCTTAGATTTCTTCAACATATAATGACTGCTCCTTGTAGAACTTGTCCTTAAAAAGGGGACTTATATCACAAACATACATATTTATTATAATATTTACCTTTATGATTAAGTAAAAGTAGATAAAAATATATTTATTTTATAATATTTTCTAAAAAAACTACCTAAAAGCTTCATAAATGCTACTTTAATTTTACATGTTTTTATAGAATAGAAATTTGGTTAATAAATTAACCACATATTGGTAGCTTGTAGAACAAGCTAACTATATGGCATATGTATGAAGAGCTTGTCTTACAAGTTAAAATATGTATCTTGTAAAGTCAACATATTTTAGAGGTCCTATAAGATATTGCCACATAACTCTTAGTTAAAAGTACGTATGGAGTCAAGACTGAAGTCTTTTTTATTCTTATTAATGCTTTTTTAGTCTTTAGTCTTATTTCAAGTCTTTTTAATTTTTTTTTTAGTAATAGCTATTTTAGTTTAATTCTATAACATCTTTGAGTAACTTTCTAGTTCTTTGAGTAACACAAGATGATATTGAGGGTTTCTTTTTTTGAGTTTCATATCCTTGATACTTGTTACCAACCATTGCTCTTATTTCTTTATTCTCAACCATTGCTATTACTCCTCCTATTTCTAGCCATTACTCTTTTTTTCTTATTTTCAATTGTTATTACCATTCTCTTTAGTCTTAATCTTCTTCCTCCTTTCCTAGTCTCATTTGTAGCTTTGACTCCCAACTCTCCATCTTCATTTTAGCAACATCATTGCATGGAATTCATAGATTGATCTTATACTTACTCAGCTTGAAGTTTAAGGTGGTTCAATAAAGCTTCAGAATTTGGATCTTGCATTTGAATTAAAGCATGGCTATTGTAAAGAACATTTATTTCATATATTCTTGATATGATTGTCTAAAGATGAATGTGAAGAACAATAATAATAATGTTGGTTTAAGTGGTGCTCCTTCAATATCGATTGTTTTAAATTCTGAGAAATTTAAGTCATAGTGATTATCAATTCAAGAAAAATGCATTTCAAATTTTTTTTGATTGAAGATGATACAAAGCAAAGAAAAATGAATGTCCTAGTAAAATATCTAATGAAGAATCACAAACATTTGCTTTTGAATTTTCAAGAGATTCTTCTACAATGCAAAATAAGTAAGTCGGATTCTTAGCACTAAATCAGTAATGCAAGAGTCTGACTACAATAAAGAAACAAATTAGCAAAAACTTTAAAAATTGATGTTACTTTCTCTCTTTTTTTCTCTCTCTTTCTTTCTGTCTCTCTTTCTTTCTTTCCTAATAGTGGCCTAAAAAGATTAATTTGGTCACAAATCTAACATGAAATATATCTAAATTGTACTCAAATGCTTACCTTCTTCTTTTTTATTAGTAATACAATAGTGAATTTTCATGGTAGCTTTGAAGTAGTGTGAAACTTCAATCATACTAAAAAGATATGTTCGCTAAAGATAATAGACTTAACTATTGATAGAGTTACTTTTAGATTGCTACATGATACAATGATTATAATAAAGGATGATCATTTTTATTAAATTTGTAAAAACTAGTGCTACTTATGTATCATAAGATAAATTAGTTTTTTACGCTATCTTATTTCTAATTTATCTACACAAAGTCAATGACTTTCAAAAGAGTTAATTAATGTCCTACTTTATTTAAAATAAAAGCCTTACTTATATAAGAGACTATACATCTATATAATAGGAAATCTCTAGTTTGTTCCATCAAAGGTGTCATATTCTAATTGGTGTTCAATTTCTTAAAAGACATTGATTTCTTAATAAATTTGTTACCAATTTTGATGGATAATGTTGCAAACACAAATAGTATGGTGATGAATGCATCTTTGTGTCTCTTTTATTAAGAGTCTATCAAACTCTTCTATGGTAGAGTGAATATTAACTATGTAAAGAAACTTGATATTAGTGAACAAGTCACTTTGAATTCATTCCATCATGCCATTTACTAAGAACCTCAACTTTTGATTGTTGTTTGCACTTCCAAATCTGCCATCTATTGATATTCTTTAATATTCATATACAAAAGCTTAATGTCTCAATAATTGAGCCAAAAAATATCATACTATGTAGAATAGCATTGCTCTATGTGTCTTATACTTAAGAAACTATAGTATTCCAAAGTTTACTTCTTTATTTTATCATGCCTCTTCTTTTGACCTTTCCTTCCCTAACTCATAGCCTTCAATTTCTCTTCTAATTGATTGGACTTTCATTAGGCTTTGGCGTCTTGCTTCTCTAATGGCCCCTCAACAACAACTATGAAATAAGCCTCAATTTTTGTTTGCTCAACTTCCTTGAACTCAACAATAGATGCCTCAACTTCCTATGCAACAAGCTCCTCAACCAAGAGCTCTGTTATATGTGCATCAACTACTTCTTCAATAAAATAGGGCTTTAATGACTCCACAAGCTTATCTCCAACAAGTCTTCCACTCTTAGAGCTTCTATTCCTTCAACAAATACAATTCCCTCTACAATAATAATCCTATCAAGACTCAATTTATACTATCTTTACATTGATTTAAAGTTAAGCAAATCAAGTCCATATATCTTGTCTCCTTTAATACCTCTTGCATTCAAATCTAGCATGTCCACTTGTTCATGGTCATGTTTTGATGTATAAAGAAAAAAAGCATCAAGGATAGATTCATACAATTCCAAATCACCTTCTATTACAGCAATATTAGCAAACTGCTAAATGACAAGTTTTAATGGTTATCTATGGTCTAACAATTTATGTATTTCTTTAGAAAGCAAACTTTGCATAGATGCTAATAGAACATAACTTACTTTCTTTTGAGGAGCTTTTTTTCATCAATGCATTCTTTTTTGTTGATTTGTGCAATAGATCAACCTTCAAAATGATCTTTAACTTGATTCTCCTCAATTACCATCTTATAAGTGCAAAATTTTGGTTCTTTATTAATTGTTGATTTTTTCAAAGCAAACAATACTCTAGCTAATTCTTCTTCTACTCTATTAAGCTCGTTAGGTTTATCTTCTTTTTCTTCAATAAAATGTTCATTCTTACTTGGAACTTGAACAGATCGACCATTGCTTCTTTGATTGCATCAACCTCCTTTGAGCCCTCTCTCTTTCTTTTTATACAATCATCAAAATAGGAGACATTATATTCTACTACTTCACCTTTTTTTTCTATGGTAGAATCATCTAAAGAGCATGTGACAATATCATTTTCTTGAACCATCTATTCTTCATCATTTTTCGTTACTCCCTCAAAATCATTTGATTCCTCAAGAAATTCTTATCTAATTTCCTCTTGCATTGTAGTAAAAAGTACTTCTTTATTTTGATTGTCAATATACTTGGAAGAGTTGCACTATTTTATGATATTGGATAGAGAGACAAAATAGAAGATGGCATAATAAGTAGTGATTCTATAAAATAGAAGAGTTAAGAAAACTCCATCAATCAATATAAATATTATGATCAAATGAGCTAAAAGTAGGAATAATATTAATACTACCATGGATATTAATTAACAACTTCATGTTTGTAATGTAAAATTTGCTCCCTTCTTTGCTTGTGCATAAAGATTGTACATACCATTGTAGCTCTGACTCCACACATTATTGTTATTCAAGCAAGCCATGACCATATTTCTTTACAACCTCAGTAAATAATATTTTTCAATTACTTGTCGTCTACACTCTGTTGGTTCTCTGTCGGTTCAATAAACATGTAACTAATGTGGTAGGATTGTAGAAGAAAAGCATTTGACTGTAATTTAGACGTATTTCCTATTGGATATGTGACCAAGCCAATCTCTTTGGACCATCATTGTGAGAGAGAGAGAGAGAGAGAGAGAGAAAGAGCGACACCAATTTTTAAAGTTGTCTTACTGATTCACTCTTGCATTGCTAATCAAGTGCTTAGAATCCAACTTGTTTGTTCTGCGAAAAAAAGAAATCACTTAAAAAATCAAAAGTAGAAGTTTGTGATTCTTCATTAGATATTTCACTAAGATATTTACTTTTCTTTGCCTTTTGTCATCTTAAGTCAAAAAAAAATTAAAATACATTTTTCTTGAGTTGTTAGGCACCATGACTTGAATTTCTCAGAGTATAAAATAATAGACATTGGAAGAGCACTATCTTAGCCAACAGCACAAGTATCATTCTTCACGTTCATCTTTAGATGATCATGTCAAGAATAGATGAAATGAATGTTCTTTACAATTGGCATGCTCTGATTCAATTACAAGACCCAAATTCCAAAGCTTTGTTGAGCTACCCTAAACTTCAAGTTGTGTGTACAAGACTAGTCTATAAATTCCACACAATGACGTCACCAAAATGAAGATGGAGGATTGAAGGTGGGGGCTGCGGATGAAGCTGGGAGGTTGGGAATGGGGAGAATAGTTGTGATGATTGGGAATGAGGAAAATGAAAATGGAGGTTGAAAGAATTCAATGATGTAAGTCGATTTAATAAAAATATGGGTCGCTTTATCATTTTTCTATATATATAGGAATAATTTTAATTTTTTAAATTAGATTTATAATTTTTTAATGATTATTATAAATATTTTATTTTTTATTTAAATATCCAAAGTTAATTCAATGTATGTATGCATGTACAGACAAGACGAACGAAAAACATTCATCGAAAACAATGGATGTGTACACCGAGCTGGTTCAGATTTCGTCCTCTTTCTGGTAGGAGTCGCAACGCTTGGACACCCTGAGCGCGAGTTTGCAGTCGATCATGCGCACTGTTCTCTCCGAATTGTGTGCGTATCAGAATCGAATTGCTTCGCAAATTAATCTCAAGAAGCTCGCACTGCTATTTGATGAGGTTTGCTTTATGGGTTGTGCTCTTGGGATCGTATCGAGTGAAATATTGTGCAAATTGGATGAGCTTCCACATTGCAGCGTCGGGTCGGGCAAGCAGTGTTGCGAGCGATGAGACAATTGCGCAGACATTGCAAGAAGAATACGATACAGAAGCCGCATGGGAGGAAGAAAATGCTTCCATAATTTCCACGAATCCATTGCAGGTAAGATGCGGTGTATGTAGATCTCTGGGTAGTTACACAGGCCGCAGAGGGTTGGGCTCAGAACTTTGGTGATTTGAGTGTCAACAGCTGCAGTTTGACGGAGGTACGACGTGATAGTACTTAGGTGCCAATGGAGGCGGAGGGAGATGAAGCATTGGATCGAGGTCGGATGGCAACCTCCTCCAGCTTGATAAATCTTATTCCGAGAAATTCCATATCATCAGTGGATGGGGATTTCGAACTTCCGTTAATACTGTCGGAGGACTATTCTCACGTGGATAAAGAGCTTGCAAGACGCTTTCATGAACTTGACCCAATTCCTGTGAGTACCGTCAAGCAGAATGATTGATTCCGCAAACCCTAAGACTTGCTGTGCCTACAGTTGTTACTTGATAAGATGGAGGCTGGTACCAGGGATCTTTTGACGATCCAATGAACTAAGAAGTTGACTTCGTAGAGTTGCTGTATGTTTGTGTCTCGGATTGCGTCGAAGGCTGATGTTTTGATCTGACACTTAGTTGCAATTATTCTTACATTTCTCTGGTTTCGTATGTGCAGCACTCGCCAAAAGTAAACGGAGTAACTCCATCCGTAGAATCTGCAAATGCGGATCATCATCTGCTGTTACACAGGTAATGAAGGCAAGAATGTTCATAGACTGACTCATTTTAGCACGTTCTCAATCTAAAGGGGAGGTGGATGGAGGAATTTGAACTATCATTTTAAAGATGAAGTTCCGGAAACTGACTGATATGTGATGTTTCAGGTTGAGTCTTTACGGGCTGACAGAACGTAGGATTGCAGGAGACGGAAACTGTCAGGTACTCCAGGCAGATTCTGTGCAAAATGCTACTACTTTTAACTTCTTGTTACATTTGGTATATGCCCTTGCCTCTGGTAGGGCAGTAGGAATGTATGTATGCCAATTATAATTATTGTATTGCTTGAATGATTGGGCAGTTTCGAGCTTTGTCAGACCAGCTCTACCGCTCACCAGATCACCACCAATTTGTGCGGGACAAGATCGTTTCACAGGTCGGCTTCACTTTGATGCCTGGAGTCTTTCTTGTGTGAGAAGCCAATGCCAGAAATGCCAAAAATAATCCATATAAAAAGGCATAATCAAATAACAATTATGACTGTGATTCACCTCCTTGTTAGGGTGGTCAACGCAGCTAACAAACTTGGTGGATAAATACTCGGGATATATTCCAATGTCTTACAATGAGTATTTAAAGAAAATGTCCAAGTACGCATCCTCACTTATCACTAGTGTAGGGTTCGTTGCCCTCCGTTGACCTATCCAACTAAGTGGAAAGTTTTTCATCTCAAGTTATTCCACTGAAAGTTCTGCTGAGATTGGATATACTCATGGTGGTAGACGCATACTAATGTAGAGTAACGTAAATCATGCTCAGTAGCTGACAAATGGGCTCTTACCTGGCAGCAATGGTGAATGGGGTGACCACGTTACATTGCAAGCTGCAGCCGACTATGTAAAGTTCTTTCTTGCGCAAAGAACTGTTTTCTCTGCATCCTAAAGCACAGAAATTAGGTGGAATAAAAACTGGGTGAAAAACCAACCTCAATGAACGTGTTAAGTGGTTCTTTATTTTTATGACTTCGTAAGTGAATCTGTAGTAGAGAAGGCCTTTGTACAGACAACCTCAACTTTGGAATGTGTGCAGTATGGAGTAAAAATTTCCTTGGTCACATCTTTCAAAGACAGATGCTTCATTGAGATTATGCCCTCCACCCGAAAATCCGCTCGAGGTTCTTGCCTTTTCTCGTTCTTGTTTGCTCTTCATGTTTCAGCAATGCATGGTCGGCAAGGGACAGAAATCTTTCTACATGAAACTTAGGCCGGAAATAAATTATATTCTCTTCTCGGTTTTGTAGAACACCACGTACTTAGCTCATATTATATGTATGTCGGCTACTGCTGATGTTCTTAATAAGCACTTCAGGATGAGAAGATTTTGTACCACAGATTGTGAACAAAGTTGAAGGATTAGTTTTGCTCTTTGTTGTAACGCTATTATATGCATTTACACTTTCTTCGAATGATCTTCCCCCAACCAAGCGTAGCTGACGTAAGCTACTGGACTACATGCTTTTAGAGATTAATGGTTTGCAAAAGCCCTTGTATGATGTGCAGAGATATACTTGAGCTTTTGGGCTGAGATTCATTACAACTCAATCTATCCTCTTGGAGGTGTTGGTTCGGACTTTCGTGATAAACTGGTTTTGTTATGAACAATAGATGCTTGATTCCAATTTGTAGATCAATTAACTAACGACGATCGAGGCGATATCTCTTTTCTCCCGTTGAGTGCTTCTGCATATTCCTCTGAAAATTTTACTGCTTACGGTAAGATGACGTGAGTTCTATCGAAGGGAGAACAGGAGGGGCGGAAGAGTATTATTTTCTGATCTACCTTCATGCATTGCGAGCTCAAGGGTGGTCTTATGAAATGTCTTCTTGATTACTTCTGAATTTTTTTACAGCTCAAGGCAGATTGTGCTGGTATCGCAGATATACTTGACCTGTAAACGCGAACACGTGTTTCTTTTTCTTGATTTTCAGATTCACCAGGAAGTTCAGAGGATTGACTTGCGGAGTAAGATACTCCCAACAGGCGAAGTAACGTGTCCCCTGGAAGTAGAGACCTTTTCAACCTTAAATTTATTCTGAAGGAAAAGAAATTATTCTTTGGATCACAAGTTATCCATGATGGTTCAAATGGCAATCCACGCCAAAAAGAAAAACCCTTTTCATGTGTCCGAACAATTTCTTGATTATAAGATAAACGCAATTGCGAAATGGAAGAAAAATGAAGTAGCAAATATGTAGCTGTGACAGAACCCTCAGAATATTCCGCAATTCTTCAAACCGATAACGTAGACGACAATTGACTTACAAGAAACTTGATCGTATTCAGATTTAACGTGATTCACTTGTTTCCTAAATCCATCAAATAACCATCTTCATAGTGGATGTTGCCAGTACCTAAAATTTCGCTAATTCTAGGATTGACATGGTGTGTTCAACGCTTGTGCTGCGTAGTAATGAGGAGCGAGCTCTGGCAGCCACAGTGAATCAACTCGAGTGATATTGCGTATGTACGAACGATTTGTTCGCACGAGTTCGTTAAACACCACACAGTCGGGCTTCTGTCCAAATAGTACTGATGATGGATGGATAGCCACTGATTGACCACTTGCCAAAGCCCTGCCAAACAATTCAGTCAATGAGCTATTAGGAAAACTAGTTAAGTCAATATATCATATGATCAATTAATAGACATTCATTCCACCCGCCCTACGTGCAGAATATTCACTGATAGGCAAATACTCAAGGGTCGTTTGCAGAAAGTCAAAAGATAACCAAAGAAGCCTTAAAAATGATCCAAATAGTTCTAAATGATGAATACCTATAGGTTCCATCCAATTGGCGTCGAGCAGCATTAAGGAAGAAAGAAGCAGCAAGACAACGGCGAAACGAAAGCATATCATCTCCACAAGATATGATTGTCAAGCCCATGCCTTCCACATAACCTCGTATTTGCCTGCAAGTCAGAAGAAAAATTCCATAAATGTCATCAAGATAAAATTATTTTAATATATCACACTAAATGAAGGAGGATAACTGAACCCGAAAGATTTCAGCGCTAGAAATTGCTTATTAGAGCCATGACGCGAGAGAATATTTACTTCTGGATGTCAACTGCTCGTTTCAATGACCGAGCATTAATGAAGTTTGCGGTACACCAACTACGGATACGCTTGAAAACCTTTTTGTTTTCGTTAGAATTTGAATTGCTGCTAGTGTCTTCTGCTTCACCTGCCCCTGCCCCTGCCCCAGCCTCTTCCGCTTCTTGGATGTAGTGACGCAGGACATTGATTAAGGTGATGTGATCCCCATCCGCACTTATGAATCGATTTCTAGCATTGTTTGCCTGCAAAAGGATAGATAAGAGATTGTGCTTCATGTCAAAAAAAATATACAATCCCTTCGCTGCGTATATTTCCTTACGGAAATCGAAGCACTCAGACTAACTGCAAAAAGCAGAGAGATACCAATGGTTACGGTCTAGTAGGAATCCTCTCAAAGCTAATAAAAGTGCACTAAGTTGAGACACATTGGGAAATCAGTTTATGTTACCTCCTGAAGTTTATCACGTGGGGCATAAAAAACGGAATCGACCGACATCATGGACACTGTAGCAAGCATCTCCTCAGAACATCCCATCTCACAGGAGATGAGCATAGCCTTAGCATACATGGGCTCCAGAGGAAACCGAGCCATCCTCGTACCAATTGGATCAGAAAGCTTGCCTTCATCGGTCAGAGCTCCGAGACTATAGAGATGCTCCAATGACTTTACAATAGCTATCCTGAAATCCGCAAACACGAGAGTTTGTAGATGACTTCGGCAGTCCTACGATCCCAAGTTGAATATAAAATAAAGAACATAGTGCAAGAACTGACACGCATGGGTAAAATCAATGTTTGTAAAGTGCTCTTTCCAGATCACATGACTACACTGACAACACATCAGTCGGAATCGGCTGGCCAAAGAAAAATGGTTAACCTGGAAGGCTTGTCCATGAAGTCGAATCCAAGCACATCGTCAATACCAAAAGCCTTCAGTTGTAGAACAACGTTTGCAAGATTGCAGCGTTTGATTTCAGGTACAGTTGAGTCTTCCAACTTTCTATATAAATCTTCTGTGTACAGCCGAAAACACTTTCCTGGCCTTTCTCGCCCTGCACGACCACTGCTCACTTAACTCAGATAAAAAGCATGAGCTGAGTTCGCAAGTAAATCACCAGACATACACAGCTCCTCATCGGAAAGAATGATTAGATGTAGAACGGTTACATGGGAAAAGAATTTGCACGAGAACATCTGCGATCTAGCAACCATAGATTCTCTAAATAATGACGAACCATAATTCAATGAGACGTTCTGAAAAGCGCAAGCCATTGGTTGCTGGCACTTTTCACCTTAATATACCAGCATCGACATCACGTTCTCATATAACCAAAACTCGTGCATATTCAATAACATATACAATGCTAAATATAATCATAATTTTTGCAGTCGTTTGTTCGCCCTGAAAAGCATTGAAAAAAATATTCTACTGTGTAGATGCCTCTCTACCTCCGTTGTCGGGCCTGAGCTTTTGATACTGGCACAACCTCCAATGACTCCACCCCGGTACGCGGGTTGTACGCTCTTGCCTTTACTAGGCCTGGGTCTATCACATACCGAATGCCAGGAATGGTAAGTGATGTCTCTGCAATATTGGTTGCCAATATTACCTGCATAGACAAGTCTTGTTTTGATCAGTATTTTACAATCAAGACGAGACATAAGAGTTCATTTTCTCCTAAGTATTTCAAAAAAAAACTTAATACATACTTGTCTAGCGCACCTTTCGTGTTCCGTCAGGAGCAGGCTGGAATACACGCATTTGTTGCTCACTGGGAAGAGCAGCATATATAGGGACAACCAATAGTTTAGGAACTTTTGGAGACAAATGAGAAGCACGTTCCTTCAAAAGCCGCTCCATTGATTCAATCTCCTCTTGTCCTGTCAAGAAGAGTAAAATATCTCCTGGGATTTCCTCCAAGTGAATCTGAAATGTAGTAAGGAGAGCAGCATCGAGATAATCAGCTTCTGGCGTAAAGGTATAGAATATCTCTACAGGAAACTGACGGCCTTGCACATAAACCGCCTCTGCTCCATTGAAGTATTCACAGAAACCCTTCGTGTCCAAGGTTGCAGACATTACCACTAACTTCAAAGCACTATTTTTTTTTTCGAGAGGGGTTTTACTAGTAGTTAGCAAATTCTGTAGATCTTTTAGTGCAACTCCAGTTGTCGCTGCTTTCTTCTTGGAGGATTTTGTAGCTGTACTTGCTGCTTGCCTTCTCTTTTGGACTCCCTTGAGTAGACCAAACAACACATCTGTGTGGATAGTCCTTTCGTGAGCTTCATCTATCACTACAAGTGAATATCTCGATAGTAGAGGGTCCAGTAGTGCTTCCCTACAACATTGAATAGGAACATTAATGAGGCACTCCACGTGTACAAAATATGTAAAGCTGATTAATCTTATAAGAAGCCTGTAGTCAAACTACATAATACTCATTCTTCTAATAATGTGGATAAAAAGTCCATGAAAAGTCCAACCTAAATCCCACCTTTACTCTCAAACAGAATACAAAGATTAATGCTTGAAACAACACCTGATACGAATGCATAAGGAGGGAAAAAGGACATATATGAAGAATAACCAAGGATAGCTGATGTTTAGTAATGAGCACCTAGCAGAGAAGTAATCAGAGACACTAGATGAAATCACAATAACATACCTCAGTAGCATACCATCAGTCATGTACTTAAGTTGCGTTGAAGGAGATGTGCAATCTTCAAATCTGATCGAATAACCAACCTCCTGCCCAACCTGCACCTCGATAGTGCAAAGAGGTCATAAGAAGCCTAAAAACGTCGCATGTAATATTACTGACACATTTATAGCAAAAATCTTCCACTGCACATAGAATAACGCACCATCCAAATAATCTTTGTGTCTACTTACTCCTATCATCTCCCCGTGTTCACATTCTCTGAAAATAAAGTATTGAAAATGCTTGTGAGGAGCAGTTATACCTCTACACCCATCTCCTCTGCTACACGGGTTGCCACAGTTATAGCTGCAACACGCCGTGGCTGAGTGATGGCAACCATCATGCCACCCTTGCAAAACCCCGCAGAATGCAAAAATTGAGGTAACTCTGTTGCACAACAAATGATAGAGACAATCTGCTTATACCATCATGTGTAACTCTTAAATCATTAGTTAGCAGGCGAGAAGAATAAAAATCAAGGAAGCCAATCCAGCAAAGATACAATTAACGATCTTATCGCAACTTACGTGTAGTTTTCCCGCTTCCTGTCTCACCAATTACGACCAGAGTCTCGTTTTTCTTGACATGATTAACGAGCTCGGATTCCACTGTATCACGCAAGAAGAAACCATAATAAACTATCTACAAGAGTCTGCGGCATGTAGCAGAATCAATTAACCCTTTCTGGTCGTCAGATTTAGGGTTATGATTCAAAATGAATAAACAAGGAAGAACACAATGATCCAAAGAAACACAACTGATAATGAAATATTTGTGAAATAGCTTTTTGAACCTCACAAAGCACTCGCAGCTTCCTCAAGCGGTTTTCAGTACCTGATGCGATTGGCAGAGCACGCCTTTGATTCAAAAGTGCTTGCCGTCTGCGGTAGCAAATAGATGAGCAATCAGCTTACCAAATTTTAACATGAATTACTACACATAATCTGTTACTAATAAGTGTAATACTTGCATTCACATGTCCACGACTGCTTACTTGGTAACTCTAGTCTGTGGAAGAAGTGTAGTTGCCTTTCGCTTGCCAACCGCCTCATTAGCCGCAGATGGAGTGGCCGATGTGGACTCAGGAGGACCCCAATGACCACCAAAAGGAACCCCATTTCCCCTGCCGGGAACATTTCCATTCCCATCCCCATTCTTGTTTCCACTCGAAAGCGGCGCCATGGATGGCATCGGACCACACTCTCACAGCTCCTGGTGCTAGAAACCAAAGGTACCTGAAATAATGTAAGAAATACTGAGTTAACATATAAGAGGAATTTTTAAAACCTATACACCCCTCTATACTCACTGTTAATCCCATCTGAGCGCTCTGCTAAACCTAACGTAGCAAATAGCAAGGATCTTACTCAAACTACACTCCAGGCTGCGAATTCCCTCACAATATAATCTCTTCGAAAAGAGTGGATACAAAATCAGGATTTAAATTTCAGCTCTCATGTTTTATAATATATTTCCGTTGCATTGTTCTGCAATTCTCAACGCTCTTCAGATTCAAGAACCAATAGCTTCCAAGTAACCAACTGAAACTGCATCACCCAGATACTACTAATGCAATGCGGGGCGATATTAAATCAAGCAAAACAATTAACGGGTTCTTCTCCCCGAAGTACTAACACAGGAAGCAATTCACGATGCTCGCTACTCCAAGATACTTCTCCTTTAGCTCGCCTGGTCTGAACTGGACATTTCCCAGCAGTAGCCGCATATAGACCTCAAGATGCCGAAACCCCTTCTGTCGAAGCAAAACCCTTTCCTGCCACACTATCTAATTGCGGTCTGCGCACTTGGGATCAACTCAGAATTGTTTCTATTGCAATTTAGAAACTGACAATTGCAATGGGGAAGGTCGTTAGGAATTCAGCCCTAAACATCAAGCATGACCTTCACTGGAGGATGGACGAAAAGGAATTTGGACAGTAAATTCATCCACACAAATCCCTTCTCTTCTTGTGCCACTTTCCGACAGGATGGAGACAGATAATAGATAATGGATTCCACATCTCCAGTTTCAATGTGGGTAGGAATATTTGTTTCGTGAGAGGAAAACTATGACTCTGTAATGTTCTGTGACCTTTGAGGTGTTCACTCAGTCGGGTGCTGGTCTCCTCAATGCCCCCGTTCGAAGTTTACCTTCAGCTGGGTTGTAGAAGAGTGCCGACGTAATGGTCGTGTCTAGGATAGAGAAATCATGGTATGTAGGTGAGGTTTGTGGTTTTGTAAATCAAGTTTAGCGCTTTCTTTCCGGAATGAGATGCCCCAGTTTCTGAGAGACGGATATCTGTCGCACCTTCTTAGCTCTTGAAATTGGCGTTACTCCGTTTAGGGTTTGGATAATAGGAATATGATCTGGTTTCAACGTGAGATTTTGCATACATAATGTTTGAGGATGGGTTCTTCGGTCTGAAATCCCAGTGTTTTTGATGTAGTTGATATGAATTTTCAGCTTGTGATGAGTTGTCAACCATCTGCATTGGAAGAAGAGGTTTGAGATGGCTTTGATAGGGATCAATACGACTCTTCATGCCGTTCTGTTCGATGATATCTTATCAGTGAATTTCTACAGCTCTTTTCCAGGTATGTGTAGTGTGTTAAGCATTTCCTTCGTGTTGTAGGAAAGCAGGATTTCCTTGCTGACAACTGCCTTTTTGAATCTTCGAGATTTACGCTGCAAGGAGTTGTCTTGCAGTGTTGGGGTTTAGGGTTTTGTCAAAGATATACTTGATGGCACTGTCATTTTTTTGAGAATGTACTACATGTTTTGATAGCTACTGAAATTGTGGTAATCTATTTGAACTTTGTGAAACTTCTCACCGCACCACAATCAGCCTTTCAGTACTCAATTGTTGAGTTAGCTGTTGCGGTCGTATTGTAATATTGGGTCTCAGAATTTTTTTAGATTTTTTTCTTTTTTTTCTTTTTTTTCTTTTTTTTTATTGGTAAAAGACTAATGATGTCGATACGCCCACAATTTCTACGTAGTGCCTCAAATAAATCACTATCATACCCCTCATTGTGATCCTCACTCTTCGTGTACTCACGGCGGCAATGCACACCTATACCAGTATTCTCTTGGTTTTAGTTGGATTCGCTACATCTACTCTACCTCTCATGATCCACTTGTACTTCTAAATTGTATGTACAAATACTACGGCCTTTGTAGAGTACAACCAGCAGATAGTTCTATGGGTTCTCGTCCTTCTGTTGCCTTTTCCTATCATGATAAGAACGGCTCCACTATTCGTGGTATGAATAGCTAGAAGTTGTATATCATGTGCTTCGCAAATAGTAATTACTTATTCACTTGGCAGGGAAATCATTGCGGAATCGAGCTTCATTAGTGCCAGGGTCCAACTCGGAAGTCATTGGAACGTCTCTTTGTTCATTGGCATCTCTGAGTTCTTCTTGTAACTCTCATCCTCTGGACACGCCAGCGTTAACAAATGGGGCAGCAGGTGCATTGCAGTTCCTCCTTTGCCTCGTCAAACTATCAGAACGGAGTACCCGTGAATGGAGTTAATCACGAATGTTTAAAGGGTGCTCAAGCATTATTTGAGCTATAGAGTCCTCATTTCGATTCATGCATTTATGCTTCTGAATTGATGTACTTATATCTGACTATTGAGAGCAGTGGATGGGCAGGGAGTTTTGGACCTGGACTTGAAGAGTATGACAGATGAGCGAGAAGAGGTGAAAACCATGCTCGTTGAATTCCTCCAGGCTCGGGGTGTAAATGGTTCGCTTTCCGTTCGTGCAGTAAAAAAATCAACTCGACTAACTTCTCACCTTCTATCCCTCTTGCGCATGGTTTTTCGCATGCGCTATCTTGCAGGTTTTTTTCTTATCTCTCCTTTAAACTTTTAAGAACCTTGCAATAGCAATTTCTGTCTTAGTTTGTAATCACCGCAATTAGCAGTGTCTACGAAGGTCCGGCATTTACTTCGAAGTATCTAATGAGAGAGTAGGATTTTCCTACCGCTAATACTTTTAAGCGTGGTAATTAGCAAGAAATGTATTGTTTGTGTACAATTAGAATTGAAATTAGTAAGGAAAATGTTATGAGTTGTCAGATCCTCGAGCTCTGAATGTTTACAATCATTCCTCCTACTATTTCTCAGGTAACAACAGGTCGTTGTCCATATTTTTTTAATATTCTGTGTTAAACAGGTATTAGTGTGAAATCGAGCACAGGTCATATAATCGTTTACTGACTCGACCTTATGTTCACATCTTTCACAGGGAAAGCGGTAACAGGATCAGAAATTAGAAAGTCCTTATTACCTTTCTTAGAGACGCTTGGAGCACAACACGAGGAGGGGCTAGTGGAAGTATTTATGTGCTTTCCAGATGCACCGTCAATGAAGCCAAGGGAGGAAAGCTTATACTATTTTGGGGACTCTTTTACGTCACCAATTCTTGGAGAGGTTAAGTTCGGTAATTTTCCCCAACTCCAAGCACATATGGTAAATGGAAAACTTCCACTGTCAGTGGTATATCTCCTTGAGTTAGGATTCCCTCCTCCTGAAGTTGCAGATGTTGTGTCACGGTTCCCAGCTATTGCAAGCTATAGTGTGGAAGGAAAGGTGAAGCCCATAATTGAGCTCTTGCTTGGCATGGGAGTCCTTGCCACCGACATCCCCAAAATTATCTTGAGAAGACCTCAGCTCTTCGGGTGCAGTTTGGAAGAGAATATAAAGCCTACTGTTGCTTTACTGGAGGGACTTGGAGTGGATTCAGAGGGCTGGATAAAAATACTCTCGCAGTTTCCACATCTTTTAACCTACAGCTTCGGGAAGGTTCAACAGGTGGTGCAGTTTCTTGCTGATATAGGGCTGTCTCCTAAAGAGTCAGGCAAGGTGCTTATAAGGTTTCCTCAAATGATCGGATATAGTGTCAAGGCAAAGCTTAAACCGTTTGCGGACTATTTCAACAGCATTGGGATTGTTGACTTGAAGAATCTGGTTGTCCGGTCTCCCCAAGCACTCGGGCTGAGTCTTGAGCTCAACATCAAACCTACAATTCTTTTCTTTTCAGACAATGGCTATACAATGGAAGAGCTCAGTATAACAATACTTCGATTTCCGCAACTGTTAGGGCTAAGTACACAGGGTAATATAAGGCCCAAATGGGAGTTTTTTGTGGAAATGGGTCGAGCTAATTCGGAGTTGGTTGATTTCCCGCAGTATTTTGGCTATAGTTTAGAAAAACGCATCAAACCTAGGTTCAGAGCTCTTGAGCAGAGAGGCGTCAGTTGGTCCCTAAACCGAATGCTTAGCATGACAGACGTTTTATTTTTTAAACATTTGGAAAAGGAAAAAGAAATAGCTGGCCTCGTTCAAAATATTAGTATAAGAGACTCCGATGACTGCCTTTAGTTGTGACGTTGCCGGGCCCTTCTATGTTTTAAGAGCGACTTCCAGTTAGTAATTTCATCAATTTAAAGCTAATTCCTCTGCTCTGTCATTCGTGTGGTAGACTGTCACACGTACCTTGCTGAGATGATTACGATGTTCAGTTACGACTATTTCTCGGAACCACCATCATGTTCGTTTCTTTTCATAAATCATGAATGATCGTGTCTAAACAATTGATGCTTCTATTCGTTTTCCTTGGGTAGTGAGTTATCATAAATGATGTTTTAATAGAAGAATGTCAGCAGCGTGTGCTTTCTCTCTCATTTCGATGTGCATTTTCTTCAGAGATTTCTAAAATATCACCATAACACTCATCCAGACATCGTCCATTACATAGCATTAGTGTAGCCAAAGCACGCGTCGCAAAAACAACAGAACCTTCAATGGATTTGTGTGTGAATGCAGACTTCTCTAGTAGATTAAATGAAGAAGTTTAAAGACATGCTGACTTTTCATTCATTCACCTTAGGGTAGACCCACCTTCTCAGGTAAGAGACAGGTTCAGTTCAGAAATGGCGGGTCATGGATTCACAGAAGAGTGTACTAGCAATCTTTTTCATGCCTCTCCATTAACAGAGGTGTTATAAGCCCTGAACATGCAACTCCAAAATGTAGAGTGACCACTCTTTTGGAAATTCAAACGTCACTTCTACAAGAAAAAGTGAACAATCCAATAGGTACATTTGTTTTATTTCCATGTATGTACATATATATATATATATATATATATGATCACAATCCTGTAACCTGTTTTCAGGATGTTACATCAGATATAAATGTTTTAACAATATATCTACTGTTAAAGCTTTTGATCACAGAAAAATCGAGTTGTGTTATTATATGAATGGATAAAACACAATGAAATACTCAACGCATTTGGTGAAAGTATCCATGACTTTTTCTTACAAAAAATATTAGTTTAAAACCATGTTATTAAAGATAGTGTCTTAAATCGTAAATTCTCAGTTTGATACATAAAAACCTACTTACTGATAATTAATTCTTATTAAAAGAAACATCAATCTTATTAATTCTTGTAAAGCAAGTCTCATATAATTTTCTGGTTTAGTTTCAATCCAGATATAGTCACACCCCAAATTAAGCTTCACATAGCTAAGCTTGCAAAAGGCATAATTATCTGGTCAAAGAACTCGACACAGTGAGCACTATCGAACTCATCTGCTTCGGAATTCTAAACGTTTCAGCGACCTGCTGTGTCAAACTCTTAACCCACTATTTAACAAAATTTACAGAGGATTTAAACAGTATTTCATAGTTTTATCTAGTTTTTCATCATCACTTTCCTAAGAGCTCACGTAGAAGTAAGCAAGACATGAGAAGCAAGTGACCCAGTCTAATAGCAGTTGAAAGAGCCTAGTCCTAGATAAGAGCCGGACCGCAGGACGGGCACTCGCCGCCGACCTGACAATGCTTCCTTCAAACGAGCCAGCTGCAAAATGAGCTGACCTATCTTCTGCAATTTGAAAAGAAGCAACCAATTAGCACTTGCTATAATCTTCTCACTGAAAAAAAAATGGAATAGTTGCTCTATTCATCATACATAACTAAAGAGCATTAGGTAGGCATTCATGACATTGCCAACAACAAAATTTACCAGCTACCAGCGACCTGTACAAACACCTACACTTCAACATTTCGTAACACATTTTCCTGATCATAAAGCCTGTGTCGAATGTGAAAGCTTCCAGCTGGGTCGGCAAGGTGAAAGTGCCGTACTTAATAAACAAGAAGCCCGATTACAATCGAAGATCAATGACAAAACCCACTCAAATTTTAAATCTTGAATGAAAGGAAAACTTAGCAAAAGCTTTCACTTCATCAACTTCAACGTGCGAGAAATTGTAAAGCACATATGTTTTCAAAGTCTGGTGGTGAGTTATCTGAAACGGACAGTGGAAATATCTGAAGAGACGAAAACTAAAAAGGTAAGGAGTGCACAATATAGTTGAGAGTGCAGTAGGCAACAAGGCGACAAGTGAGATATCGAATTGTATTGTGTCAAAAGTACTGAAGCTGAAAACTACTGATAGTTACGTATGAAGCATTCATGAGACCTTTAGATGCAGATAAAAAACTGTAAAAGGAATGAGGTCAACTCGAGAGGGTTTGCATTATTGACGGCCATCATATTTAGTTGAAATGAACCAAGTGGGACGCTATAATTCACCTCTAATCTAAAAGTTTGAGTCTCAAACTATGTCTTGAAGTAAAGGATAACATCACGCATTTAGCATACATTAACTCCAAAAGGTATGTCTTCAAAGAATCAATTGTATCGTTTGACAGTACCTTGACCAAGAAAACTAAGAATGCGTTCAAGAAAGTGAATACCAAAATGAGGAAAAGGAAATCGAAGTAAATACCTCATCTTTTGCGATGAGGCGCAAACGAAGCTGCTGGTTTTGGCGTCGCTTGTATTGCCATCGATGCCCAATAATGAAAAGGCCCATCACAGCCGCAGCTAAAGCAAGAGACCAATATGTACTAGCTTGTCGACCATACACTTGTTTACTCCACCAGGTTTCAGAGGCACACTCATCTTGAAGTGAAGATGTCGAGCCCTCCTCGCGCGACACGCCTATCTTGTGCAAAGCTGTATCATTAAGTTCGCATATCAGATAATTGCAGCTAGAGTAATTTCAGATACTGCCTCCAACGTTCAGCATTCTTCAACATGCTTTTATCTCGAGACTTAAATAATATTGTTGACCTAAGACAGATCATTATCTTAAGACATTCTGGATAAAAACCAAGCTGACAACTGCCAAAATCTTACCTGCATCTGAGTCTGGAGATATGAGAGCAGAGTGTGCCAAGAGTATCTCATGCTCAACACTTGATAATGTATCTGCCTCCACTGCTGTTAGACACGGACGCTGAGAAGTAGCATCACCACCAATGGCTTCACCTACGATGTCATCACTGAGACTGCGTCGAAACGAATTATCTCGACTGACAATTATTGGAGAAGATGGAGCAGACATGCATGAGCCCAGTAATGGACCAACTTGACGTGATTCACGTTCCAACGTGGCCTTGATTTTAGACGAAAAAGAATCTGGATTGCTTGTACTTCCAAGTTCACTACCTTCGTGTTCTAGAAGCCGATGTTCAGTGCCTAAAAATATTACAAAGGTAAGAATTAAAAACCTGGACATCTGCAAATGTCTCAAACCGGGGCTCATTCAAGTAAATTGCTGATCCCCAATAGTCCTTAGGCCAAACCCATATTAACATCATGTGATGTCACAAACTCTTTTCCTATTCCTTTATTCTCCATCATCAAATCTAATGAAACACGTGATACATGACTAGTATGAAAAGCACTTCTCAATTGCCTAAGATCACTTAGTAATCTTAACTTAATTGAAAATAAATGAACTAGTTAAGTTCCAGCTGCTACTTGAAGCCTATTTTGTTCAGAACTTGCCAAAATCTTAAATGTTTTCAATTTATAACCAGTCGCTGCGGAGCTTCTCAAAGACCTAAAAGGGCACTAAAATTGACACAAAATCCTTCTAGGTTTTATCGTATTTCAAGGTTGAAGTTTTCAATTAGGGCGCAATTCAAGCCAGGAGATTTAAATTGGTCGTATATTCTTTTTACGCGCAATTTATTCGCTTCAACTCATGGACAACTTATCGTTGGTGAGTTCTCCTTAAAGGAGTTGCACAAAGATAAGGACCAACTACCACCACTGAGAACAAGAAAGAAATTTTAGCTAGATCTGGTGATAATAGAGGTGGCATTGGTTAGCCGATCCTTGTGCCTCTCCCTAAAGATCAAACCGCAAAACAAGACACACGGTACCCATTTATAAACGTCTTACTCGTCTATAACCTCTAAGAAATCCAAGAAAGACAAGATCAACACGAAATTCACCAAGATGATCGCTAAACCGACCTGGAGGCAGGGGCTCCATCCAATCCAATTTGGATAAATCATGAAGCTGTGCATTGCAACTGTCAGACATCAGAATGCTGCTTGAGAAATCAAGATCCTCAACCTGCTTGTTCTTGACATCCTTAACAGGGTAAGAATCTTCCACTGGCGCAGCAGTTGACACCATTCCGGTAGGTTTCATCTCATCAAATCTCTCAATGCCACCGCAGCTGGGGAAACCCATGCGCTTCGTGGGAGAGGTTGGATTACACAGGAAGTAACCGGAGCCCACACCTGAATCCACAGTCCCTGTCACTATACCCAAATTTTCAACTTAGTAATTCACATAAACACACAATCTCTCCTCTCCCCTCCCAAATTAAGATTCCTTCCTCCTGCTCGGTTCCCATCCAATGAACCACATCATCGCAAACCCACCACTAATACTTCCCTCAAAACCACCCTCCACAAACTCCCAGAAAATTAAGAAATAAGACCAAAAGAAGAAAGGTCAATTACCTCCATCAGGACCTCCCTCAGCACCTCCTTCAACGCCCGCATCATTAGAAGTGGAATCCAAAGAAGGGTGAGACGAAATCACACCCGTGACAAGCTCCCAGTCATTGCCACTGCTAGTGTCACTCATGGCTGCAGCGCGACCGATCCCACCAAAACCCACACAACTTCACCACAACGCTCTCCCACTTCGACCTCCTCGACGAGAAAAACGAAATAAAATACCAGAGAAATACCAGTAAACGAAGAAGAGCTGCTTCATGGGTGCAGCTGCAAATCGAAGGATTCCGAAGGTGGGGAAGTCTCCCGACGCTACGAGGGCAGCGGATTTGCTCATCTCACGAAACCGTGAAGTCGAAGAAGGCGCTTGCTTCCTCCCCAACCGGGCAGGACCCGTTCACACCTGCCCCGGAGCCCCTCAGTGGGGGTGAGCAGTGATCACACCGGCAGCGGCGTTCGAGGAGATCGCAGTGAACAGAGATCAGATCCTTTGTCGAACTGGATAAAGCTTCCAGCTGCCATTCTCTCGTCCTCAATCCTCATTCAGAGCTTCTCTTTTACTGGAGCTCTTCTTGCTGCAGTTTCAGATCGCACGCCTAATTTTTATCATGAATTGTGGTTCTTAGTATTCGTTACCGTCTGTTTGAGACGTGAGATCTTGCTGCTGAGTTGATATTGTATGAAGTGTTTTCCTTTTTCTATACAACTCATAACATTGAGTGAGCTCTCGCACATTGTTTAATTTTAGTATTATTGTTAATGTTTATACTCATTGATAATATGGGAGCAAATATATGTACGTATGTATGTATATGTAGATGAATATATGCACACATCCTCAACATTCGAAAATGTTTTTGTTTTTGATTTTCTTCTAAGCTTTTGTTTTCAACAAAGAAAGCAGAGAGTAAAGAAATTGGAAACGAATGAAACAATGACAAACAATTCCCTTGACAACTATTGTGAGATAATCTTATCCCAGACAAGTATCATTTTGGAAGTGCTACTGAGATGATTGTTAGAGAAATTGTCAAGCTAAGATGTCTTTGATTAAAGCACATTTCATGACTATATTCTCAAAACTAACTAGCAAGATGCCAGTTAATATAGACTTCCAACAAAACTAAAAAAAATCATTGTAGAAACAAGAAAACCACAGTTCAATCAGCAAGGCACAATCTTTCCAGTCTCATGATACAACACTCAACCATTAACAAGAAATTATTTGTCCCTCAATGTATTCAACTGATTGGCTGAAACTCATGCTATAGCGATTAATGAACTTGTACAAGTCTCTAATTGTCAGTTCCAACGCAGTGTGCAAAATTGATTGGTGAAGTAAAACTCCAGGACATGCACAAGCAGGAACTCTGAATTTCCCTGTAACCTATTAACAAATTACAAGGAGATTATCAGCAGTCTCAGTTATTGAAGTATATTTGCCTCCAGCTTCTGTGGCTCTGGAGCTTCCAAAGCTTCCATGATACTCTCCACCCACCTGCACATAGACACACATTTACAACAATGACGTCAAAAACATGGTGTTCACATACAAATTAGGGATGAGTGCCCCAGCACTATTGGAATGATATATACTCAAAACCTTTTTTGTTTTAAACAAGCACAGGTGATGGTGGAGGGAAAAGCCGTTACGCACCCCTCTATTCCGGGGCTCTCTGGATGATAAACCTTCTGTAACCCTGCCTTCCGAGCAGCGTTCGCTGATGTACTACCTATACATGCAGCTGCTCCGTTCCAATTCTTTGGCTCTGCCACGAGTTCCATCCACGCCCTAAGTGACCACAAGCCATCAAAACCTTCTTAGCCTTTTGAACATGCCGTAGGTAACTATCCCTGAGAAATTGCTGCACGTGAAATGTGCGTTGCAGTTCTTTGTCCTAACAAACGACACTATGCCCGTTGCAATTCTGTCCAATGGTCATAATCGAAAGCAGTGCTTCCTGAAAAGACCAACATAAGGAGACAGGATGTACTTGACAGCTGTAGGGGAGGCAAATGTCGCTACAGGAACTGAAGCAGCTTCAGAAATGGCAGCTTCATCCAGATTCCTAACAGTTTCCTGCATGATACAACAACAATTTTGAGAAGTTGTACGTGTGCACGAACGATAATCACCAAGTAAAGCATTTTAGTTATCTGCATTGTAATGATAACTCCAGATGGGAAACCAACTACTGGCAAGAGAATCCCTTACAGTAGAGTAAGTATTCATTCGCATTACGTGAAAACCTCGCTCCTTCAACCCATTCTCTGCACGAATTTAATAATCGCTAATTAGGATGTGTAACACTTCTTCTTACTAGTAAAACTGTGATGCATATACACAATATCTATTTTTTCCTTCGCAATATACAAGAATTTCGGAAACAAAATATACTGAGTGATAAGTTGGGTAATATTCCTTTTTCCTTGATAATTCTTGCACTAGGGCGATCTATGTAGCTCTTGTCTACAGAAATATTTAGTGAGAAACTGCTGTCGGATTATGTAGCATCTTCATGTCGGAAAGAGTCTATCCAGGGACTCATCAATTATGGTGCAGTTTTGTAGATTATTTTATGATCTCATGAAACCAGAAACATACCCAAATCGTCACCGGCCTTGAGGGACGCAGGATACAAAACGTTACTGTCATCACTTAGTTTGGGAAGCTCACTGGACATCACCTTCGCGGTTGCTATTAACATAACAAAAACATCAGAATGCTGCGTTCTCAAAGTTTCGAATGGAGGCCCAGAAGTGTATATTGACAATAAGTGCATGGCCCTCTGCAAGCCCAAACATAGCCTTACAAGAAAAGTTCTCAGAGGCATTTAACAGCACGAAAATAAATTAATTTCTGTAATTTCAATAAAAATTCACAAACCTTTGGAGGGTGTAAAGGCAACATCTAACTGATTTGCTCCTTCCTCCGCGTTCTGAAAGAGCTCACCCGTGCCAGCACCAACTACAGCAATGCGTACTTTTGGGCGTCCTGCTTCCCTGCTCAAGGTCTTAGCAAGAGCTGGAAATTCCTCCAATGATAAATGAGAGACTCACCAGTATCAGAAGACAAACACATAAATGACTGAATGCAAAAGGAAAATCACAGGAAAGTCACAAAACAAAGAATCAAAACAGGATTAAGGTAACGAAAATCTACCTCCACGATCGCAGAAAAACTGTAGCAGCTTCCGGTGAGGTTACAACGATCCACTCAAATTTCCCCTCTGCAAAAACAAAACTTATCATTAAATTGATAAGGAGATGTCTGAAATGGTTTATGATTGCAAGAAGCGTTTTGCGGCAGTCCGTGACAGATTAGGTCTGCCGTGAACAAGATACACATCTGAAGAAGGAAGTGTGTGATGAATCCGGAAGTACCACGGAGGGTCTGAACAAGCTTGAGCAAGTCTGGGCCATCCCTATGTTCTATCAAAGGTAACTCCAAGCATCGAATCCCTCGCTTCGCCTGTACATGTCACCCAGTCTGTGTTGAAGAGAAACTGCCTGGGTTCTCTGAAAAAAAACTTACACTTTTGAAGATATTGATAAAAAATTCTGCAAAAAATTGGAATTATATGTCGGAAAAGTTCAACATCTCACCAAAGCCTTCATGAGCTTAACATTCTTCCCATGCTCTCTGGTTACTACAACACTCGCCTTTGTCTTAGAACCCGTAGCAATGTGAGCTTCGACACAAAGAGCAGACGCATGCCGCCGCCGTTGCTGTAACTCCGAGCTTCTCATGTACAGCGGTCTAACACCAACTTGAGTGCGCGAAGCAGAAACAGAAGAAGATGTTTCTGATATTCCACACGCTAGCCTGTTCATAAACCCAGCATCGGAGGGTTTCAGAAGAAACCCACACCATGCTGAGGGCGCTAGGAGCATCGCCATGTCCGGATAATGTTCTTCGCAACTTGTCTCTCAGGGAGCAGCTTGCATCTCAAAATAATCTCCAATTCCCAAAAATCTGCGGTGAGTTCGTTACACAGGTAAATTGCATTGTGAATGATAAGTGTCTCAAGGATTTGAATTACCGCTTCGAGAGCTTGAGCGTGTAGATTTTGAGCTAAAACTAGACTAAAAGAATTAACATTGAATATCCAATACCAGTACACAAATTATACTTTCGAAATACAAAAGCGGAGACCAGACCGTAGCGCCTTAAGTAGCCCCTGAAACAAGTAGCCACTTACAACAATAATCATGAGGACACCATCATAAAAGCAGAACAGTGGTCAAAAGGACCTATATTTAACTGCATATACGAAACTCCTTGGATTGGGAAAATTTATAGTTAAAGGTTACTCGCAAAATAAAACAAAACATTAAAAATATTAAAATTAAAATAAAATAAACTAAGATACCACGGAAATTGTCCTTGAATCCATGGTCCACTTGCACGATTAAGTCCAGAAGAAATGGAAATCCTCCAAGAATGCCACATCTACAACTTTCCGCACACTGAATTTAAGATAAGTTCACCATCGCTGCTATTTCTATCTCCGTCGATTAGCTTTACAAAATCTACCATACGCGCATCAACATAAAAGCAACACAAACTCCTGCTACGCACAGAAGTAAAAGTATGAAAAAAATTCTGCTATTTTGCAAGTTCGCACAATGGCAGCGAGGAGCTGAAAAAGGACTACATGTCGACTGACCCACCTACACATTTCCTGCATAAACGAAGAGGAGATGTCCATTTCTGTATTTAGACACGCTACTCGTTCCACAACACGAAGGCATCAAATGCGACAGTAAACCAACGAGACCTAGCTAGCTTGAACGCCATCCCAGTCCAAATTGGTTGTAAGCACGAAGATAATTCGTAAATGTGAGGAGAGGAAACGAAATCTACCTCTTCTTCTTCTTCTTCTTCTTCTTCTTCCACGGCTTCTCCTTCACCTTCCCCGCCTGATTGTCCCCAAGCCCCTGGTTGAAGTGGGAGAATCGTGTAGTCGTGCGCGGCGCAAATCGAGAGCAAACTGAAGCACGGGGCATGGGCACCGAAGCAATCCATCATCCTTGCTTCCTCATCATCATCTCCCCCAGCCTCCTCCCCCAACGCCGCTACCCGTATCCTTACTGCCTCTATTGAGAACTGCGTCAGTGGACACCCGTCAAGGTCCTCGCGGGTATGGAGACCGTGTTCTTTTGTTGCACATCCTTTTTGTATGCTAGCTTGAATAGAAGTATTTCTAAAATAAGATTTTTTTCGGAAAAAAATATTTTTTCATTATTTCCTTGGATCATTGTAATATTTCTTTTTTTTATGACAAAGCAAAATTTAATTCTTGTTATTTAACTGGCTTTTTCCTTTATATGTTGTACATGTCTTTTACTCCAAAAAATAAAACTTTTATTATTTTACATCAAGTATACAAATTTTTTCTAATGATTAATCAATTATATTGATAAATAATTAAATAAATAAATAAATGACTATAAAATATTCCAAAATTAAGATACAAATATATATATATATATATATATATATATATATATGTATGTATGTATGTGTGTGTGTATGTATTTAGAGAAATGCTATTTAGAAAATTAATAATATTAAATTCTAATGTTTTATCATAATCATGAAAAAATATTTATATTATAAAATTCTTATGGATGGTGCTTTTAAAAGATAAATATTAGTTGTTTGAAAGTTCTATATATATATATATATATATATATATTCTTTTTCTTTTTCTTTTTTAAATCAAAAACTTGTGGAATCTAGAAAATATCTATAATTTTTTAAGATTAGAATAAAAACTTACAAATACTTTATTTAAATTTTTTTCTAAAATAGTTAAAAGATAATATAGAATTTCAAAAACATAACTTCATGCAAAAACCAAGTTGCATGAATTCTGATTTGAGTAGTAAAAATATTTTTTGATGTTTTTCTGGTAGTTTTTTTGTAATTTTTTTGTATTTTTTTCTTTCTCAACTTTTTTGTGATAATGGCTCTCATTTTGTAGTTAACATTTTCTTATTTTTATTTTTATTTTTATTTTCTTGAATTGTAACAAGCAATGTTCTTTCTAATGTAATTACATGTCGTCTTATCTATAATAAGAAATATCTTTCAAAATTAAAGACTTAATTTAATGTTTGAAGTTCAAACAATTTGAAAAACTCTTAACATCATGTTTTGATTTACAAAAATAAAATCTAAAGAGCCCAACATAACTATTTTACACACTCTTAGCTTAATTTTAAAATTAGAAAACTAAAAAAGAATTCAAAATAATTTTAGTTGTAAGAATTAAAATTTATTAATTCTTACAACTAAAATTATTTGCAATGTTTTCTTTATATATGTAGATTTAAATTCTACCAAAATCATATTGTAATTATTTGATTATGGATGTCATATTCTAAAACTAATATAATTAAGATATTTAATGTTTATTAAGTAATTTTCTATTTTATTAAATTAAGATGTTAGAATTGAATAAATTTGTTGTTATTCTTCAATAATAAGACTTATTTGAATAATTGAAATTCTAAACTTAGTTAAATTGTAATTTTTAAAATTGTATAGGTTTTTACTCATATATTATGTTGTAATACATAGTATTGTTCCTATATATTAATATATCAAATCCTTATAATAACGTTTACAGAAACATTAAACCATAATCTTAGTATAATATATATATATATATATATATATATAAATGATTAAGAATAAATAAATAAATAAATAAATTTTTATTTTAAAGATATTTGTTTAAAAGAGTTTATGATATATTTTAAACCTAATCTGAATGAGTTTTGTTTACTAAATTTAAGGTCATGTAATATAAAATAAAAATTAAGATATTTAAAATTATAAATAAAATTGAATTATAAATTATTGATAAAAATTATATGTTTTTACAACAATGCATAAATTTTATATTTCGCAAACAAAGTTTAGACAGTAGATGGTTTTTTTGAATAACTAATGTGTGTGTAAGAATCTTTTTTGTTTATCTTACAAAAATAAGAACTTATATTGAAAAGCATGTTTGGAAGTAAGTTTGTGTTTACAATGACGTATTTTTGTACTAAAATGTTTGTGTATTTATATATTTACATAAATACACAAGTTTTTTGATAATTTTAACTTTTTTAATTAAATATTTGTAATTTCAATACAATCTGCCCAGGCTTAACAAAACTATTTAGTTTTGTTGAATGTAAAAATTCACAATGATGTGTAATGTTGCGTCTAATTCAATTTTATTTTAGCACACACTTTGAGACCACTAGTTTTATTTATTTATTTTGATCTGTGAACATTTTGTCATTTTAACTAATACTCTATGTGCGCATGATATTAATGCTGCTGACCAATTTCAAATTTTACTACAGTCAACATAAATAATGTCGACAGGTTAATGTTACAGAATTGTGGTGGATTATCAACTAAATTGTGTGCAGACAAGGTCCATTACAAAGTAGAGACACGAGAAAGGAGCAGTGGTGGGAGTCCATTACAAGTAGATGACTATGCTTGTGCAAGTTGTGTCATAATGTTGTCACTTGGATTGGGCCAGACAGAATCAAACAAAGAGTAGTAAAAATAGATCTCTACACACATTAGCCACAAAGAACCTTGTAAGTGTCATCAGGCAACATTTTTTGGCAGCAAGATGGTGAGAGATTGGTCGTGAATACTCAGACATTGCTGTGGAAATTCATTCTGCAAAATGCATCACTCATGCGTTGAGATATCGTGAAAAGATTAGGCCATGCTTGGACACACGCACGTTGGATTTTTTGTCGCATTTGATTATGAAGTGCTAAGAGTCCCAGATCTTCATGACAAGAGATCAAGCTGTGAGCAATATCCCATGTAAGAGTACAAGATCCGATTTAGATATTGCTGAAAGAGATTGTTGTGATGTATTGCAAATTTACAAGGAGATGAAACCAATTTTTGATCCAGTTTGAGAGTAAAACTAAGAATCAATTAACAATCATTTGATCGAGATAAATGAAATCAAGGGAAACTGCTGCGGACAGAGTCGTCTTATTTGATTGCGTGCGTCGGAATCGGTAGTTTCAAAATCCATATTCATCTTGAAATAACATAGTTAAGACAAAACTCTCGAATGGTTATCATTACCAATGAACATTCAAAGATGTCTTCCTGTTGCTCGTGGGCTGTGCCAACCAACCGCAGAGAACACAGATCCTTCTACAAGTCCATCGCAGTCTACTGACAGCTGATCAAATTAAAGTACAATAATAGAATTACAAATTCAACAAACTATCCTGGTCTCAAACATATGCAACTCTCTCGTTCACAACTTCTTGGTCTCAGAAGGAAAGTGATTGTGGCAAAACAAAGCTGTTGCGGCCTATAGATGATTATTCATGATTTGGATAAGAAAAACTCACGTGGATTCCAACAGGAACACAAACTGAGAAAGTGATGTATGCTACTATTTACACAGTTGTAAAATGCATTCATAAACTTTTCTTTGACGTCATGCGCTGCAGCACCTGTTTGCCTTTCTTTTTCATCTTGGACTTGATTTTGGCTTTTGCAACTAAAGTAGCAACTGTGTTGACAAAATTGCCGCACGCCATTAGAATCAACAACAACCCACAAACCACCATCTGATGCACACAACAACGATCTGTCAGATATCTGTTTTTAAAATTGAAGTGTAGCCATGTCTAAAACAAGCCGTGAAGATGATTACCTGCCACTCGGATTCATCCTCCAGAATAGCAGTCTTCAGCAGAAGGATTCCAATAAAAAACTGAAAACCCTGCACATGTGAAGCATAGCATATCAGAAAAAGTCAAAACGTATCATTTTTCTGGCTAACTAAAGATGACTATTTTCCTTCCATAGCATGTTAACTGCAAGGTTGTGTACATATCCTGGAAGGTGTAACATGTAATACAAGATCTCACCTGTAGAATAAAGAGGAGAGGATATAAAACCCAAAGTTGCCCTTTAACACCGGCCGTCTCTCCCCATACAACATCCATCCTTCCAGCCTGTACATCAGCCACTCTATTAGAAAAGGCCTCGTATCATATAATTCATTGAATGCGAACGACCTGTGCGATCCGGTCTTTAAAAATTATTACTTTGTGTGACCAAGCGTCACCTCGGTACGATTTGAGACTAAACCTCGAATTCAGGAAAATACCGGAGTCAGTCTTTTGAAAGGAAAAATGGATATAACTATTATAAGTTATACAATTACATTATAAAGTTCTTTCAATACATGATACAGTATTCTTCACAGATGTGCCAAGGTCAAGCATAGTTAGAAGCGGAAATGGCCATGAAAGTGTATTGCATATTGGAAGAGGGAGGAGATCTAAGACCACTTTAGAAACCGCTGCCACTAGTGAGCAATCATTGCATGGATCACTAGTGATGTACACAAAGGCAAATGAGAAAAGCATACCTTCCCAAGAGCAATTCGAGTATATAGGCGTCGACGCTGATAACGGTTCTGTAGTAGCATAGCCACACCTTGCATCACAGCCCAACCAAGGAACAGCCGCACCCCTTGCTGCAATCAAGGTATATATATTGAATTGTTACCTAACAAGTGAGCAAGCGCACAAGGAGGTGCCAGCTGAAGTTCGATAATTCTTGTTTGAGCGTAGAATTATTTAAACCAAGTAAAGCAAGAAGATATCATAATATCTTGTCCCTACAGCATACATGTTTACTGGGTTAGCAGGATTGCCCATACACAGACGCACCTGTTTGCGTATGCAACTAGGATGACCTTGGATTCCCCAGGTAAGACTCACTAATGCCATCACCATCGCACAATAATGATGATACACCCACCTGCCACATCAATGTACTCCTGACACGTCATGACTCAGTCAAAAAAATTGCAAATTTTATGGCAATGCATGATAATCTTCATGGTACTGAGCCTTCCAAAACAGCCGCATATGTGAATTTCTCACGTGAACTACATGTAAATTGCATTCAAATCATTATGAGTAGGTTTTTGGATGAAAGTACCATGGTCGTATGTCACTACCGTTGACTCTCAAAATATTTTCCCGCAGTGCTAAACTAGTGTAGAAAAACAATAACCAAGCCTGAGGTACTCACACAAATGGTATTTAGCCACCTTGTGCAAACAAATCGCATCATGAAAATGAGAAATCTCATTGACAAAACCCATCTGAAGCAAAGGGCAACTCTCGACACGTTCCAAATCTCCTAAAGAAAAACGGATGTACTAAAAAATAGCACGCATAAATAGGATATAGCTCAACCGTAAAAACTCGACACTACTCAAAGCATTTCAGAGAAACCGAATATAGTTACCTGGTATACTTGGACTGGCAAAGCTGGAAAGCATCCATTCCATATTCTGTTCTTCAAAATAAGCAAAATGACCGGAAACGCAAGAAACATCACTGCTGTTCTATCCTGAATACACAATATCAGCACTCATGGGTTGGTAAATACATCCTCAACCATATGTTTATAGGAAAAATCAGATGAGATGATAACAAGCATTATTTCCTTACCTTACCCGGTAATTTCTAACCCACCAACCTAACGCATGTGTACTTAAAGTGTAGAGAACGTACTCTGTAAGCATTGTATTCCTCTTTCACTTTATATCGACTATCCTTGCGTGTTGCCCTGACATTAGCAGGTCCAAGCAGCATTCGGAGAAAAAAACCTGAAGCATGTACGTTACAGTATTTCAACCAGCAGATATTTTGTAGCAATTCTCCCCAAAGCGAAAAAAGAGTGCAATATGAGACAGGTCGAAGGATAACCTTCGTGCACTCGTCCCTTCAGGAATAACAATAACTCGGTGCAATCGTACCGATGTTCTCAAAGAAGAAATGACATGTAAACCAAGTCCAATTTTACATCATCGAGTTACATGAATGGACTTCCCACAAAGAGTGAAGAGACGGTGCTCACCGTTGGCCTTGGCAGGAAGTAAAGTTGCCACGTCTCCATCGTAAAGCATAGTCCGTGCTTTGTAAAGTTCCTCCTCCAGCTGCACACTCGCCGAAAAGCTCAATCCAACAGCAAGAATGTAGGACTCATATCAGAACTTCATAAAAATATCTAGGCAAGACTGCTCCAGCCAATGTCAGCGAGCATTTTGCAGACACATTCATAGAATGCACTTGGGTATGATATAGTACGGCATTAGACATAAGATACCAATGCATGGAGAAGGGTACACTGACGGTACAGGACGCTGATGACACCTGATTGCACAAATAAGAGGAGAGTAGCTAGTTTCAGATTTGTAGAACGAAGATGATGCAATTAAGGGACAGTAATGAGAGTCTCACGGAGATTCGACACTAATGAAGAAAACCTTATCAGTCGTTTGTTGGTTGATATCATCCTTCTCACTGGCGGAGCTCACGTCTCCTTGAAGTTTCTTCAAAGTATTGACGTGGGTGACAGCCTGCTTGCTTAGAGCATCTGTCTCATGTTGCCATCTCGTGGAATGTGCCGATGCGGCATCTTTTAACAACCTACAACTCTCGACCAAGCTTGCAACTCGATCTGCAATACTTTCCTCCATTTCAGGGCCACCTTTGGGTTCGCCATCCATAGTACCACTGTCGCTCGACATCAGAACTAATGTTGGGGACAGCAGACGAACTGCAAGACCAAACGCGAGAACACATGAAAAAGTGCATCACAAAATGAGGTTCAACTCGGAAAAACAAAAGTCACTTTCTGATAATTGTTCTCTCGCAATACGCGAGTAATTGATCAAAGAAGAGCTTGTGAAAAACTACACGAGCAGAGAGCTCAAGCCCAGAATTAGACCCTTATTCGGTGAAGGAAGAAACTTGCATATAAAATTCAGCGAGCAGATTTGAGGGGTTATTTGATTACCTATAATTTATGACATATTTCAAAGTGGGACAAGAAGTAGTTTATAACAAGAACTCAATCTTAACGTCAGAATTTTGCAATAAACCTACAAAGCTATTGTTGTGTGAAGAGAAAGCAAACAATTTAGCTAAATACGTACAATTACAAAAAACAAGCGCGAATCATGAAACGAAACTCATGCGAGCTTTTCGAATCAATCCAATCATACCCCTTTAAAAGATACACTAAAATGAGTCGCAACAACTTCAAGGGCAACCTCACGCTTCGAAACTATTTCCCTCCTGCACTGTGATAAAAAAAACATAAAACCAAAGTAAAAAAAATACAGTCAAATCCTATCGAAGTCCCACTCCTGAAAAATCCACGATGCATCACAACCGAAGTGTCTCCGAGCTACCCAACGAAGGTCTCTCCACTCAGACCCACCAAAATCCACACACCCATAAAAAAAATAAAAAAAATAAAAAATAAAAAATAAAAAAATAAAAAACACCGAATCTCATCCTCCAAATACCTAATAGATCAAACCTAATCAAGCTGTTTCACCACAACCCACACATGCACACCTCCTGTCTTGCTCCGTTCGCGCAAGTGTGCCAACCGAGATTGTAGACTCCGACGTATGAGACCACAAGACCTCCCAAAACCTCCAAAACCCGGACTGAGGAATCCAGACACGACCCAAAATCGAGTGATTCCGCACGGTTCCTCACCTACAGCATGGCAGCACCTCGGTGTGGTCGTCGAAGGACAAGGATGATGAGTGAGTGAGGATGCGAGCCTGATGAACTCAGGGCCATTCCTCTACCTTCCTTTGGGCACTCACTCACTGTAAAGCAGGAGGCACTGGGTGTCCCCAGAGCTCTGAAGCTCGGCACACACGTAGCCAACCACAAGGCTTCCTCAGCCATCCTCCCCCTTCCCGCTCCGGATCCCGCGCTTTGCCCCACCTGACCCGCCAAATGTCCCGCGGCCACCGGCGCTTGCCTTTCCTCTTTGTCTTACGTGTTCTGCCACGTCACCGCGGTGACCGGCGGCTGCATCTGCGGTTCGTCTTGCGAGAGGAGCCACGTCACCGAATCTAGCGGCGGCTGTTGCCTCTGCAGTTTGTTTGTCTTTTGGTGTGGTGCCACGTCACCTCGATGGGGGCCTTTCTTATGGGACCTGGATTTTCCACACTTGTCATCTTCGTGTGAGCCCTGCTCTCAAGGTCTGGACGATCCCGAAACCCTAAAAATATGAACTCTGCCATGCGTGGAAAACTTTGACTGTATTCTGCATGTTTTTGTCTTTGTTTGAGATTTCGTGGTGCTGTGCTCTTTGAACTGGAAATTTTTGGCCTTGTGAACAGTGTTGGTATCTAAACGCTTGTGTGATTGATTTGACCACGTTTGGCTTTTATCTGTGCGACTTGTAACAGAAATAAATAAATATATATATATATATATATATATATATATATATTATTTTACTCATATTTAACTTATGCGTTATATTGTTTCTTGGCATAATGAGTTAAATCCTTACACTTGTCGTGTTCCAGAGTTTTCTAGAAGTAATTTGGTTAAAAACTTAATGAAAAAGTATGACAAGTGCGGAATCCTAAGATCTGAAAAGTAACATTGTTGATGAAAAACATGCACCATATTCAAACTTCCATCCAAAATTATACCTCGTATAACAGAACGATATTTTAACACCCACCGAGTTTCCTCAGAATAAAGACGATGCAGTTTAACAAAACATGCATTAGTGCTTCGTTGTTTGAAGAATATTACTCGCATTGTGAATAACATGTGCTTTCGAGATATTATTTCCTTACTCCAAACTGGCCTTCAGAAATGTAGTTTGTTATGGTTCTTACAATCCAAACAAAGGTATTACACTTTAAGAATTTTCATTTCATATGGCCAACCAGATGACGAAATTCTTAAAAGTATCTTTCACGAAAAATCGAGCATATTGAACAGTACATTTCACCCATGCTTTTGATCCAAATATATACGCACAATGTTCGGGTTAAGTTGTTGAGCAACCCCAGAGTATCTTATCCTGACACTAGCTTACAAACAAACCAACTACCAAAATAGAAGATAAGCTGAAGGGATTACGAACCATTTGATGATATGGTAGATCATCAACCAATTATGTTTTAGAATCCACACACCAGCAGTAAAAGCTGGGTTCACTGTAGGAATACACACTTGAATATGACCACTGTGGGGCATCGACATGCTGAAGACTCAACTGAGACAGGTCACAAACATGAACCAAGGCCCCAGCATGCCTTCGAGATCGCATCCTTTTGTACAACCGCATGGCAGCTATGGCATCTTCACAAGGGTCATGAATTGTTCCGTCCTGGATCTTGTACCTGCAAATATTAAATTCTTATTCAGCAATATGCACTAGAACATTACATGAAACAATTCATAGGATAGTATACAATGGAAAAAAGGCAGCGTTCTCAAAAAAAAATTACTGGATCTATATTGCAATGATATTACTGATGGTAAAATACAGAAGGTTGTGAATCTAACCCCAAGAAAACTTCTGTCAGGAACCGCAGCTTGTGACTAACACCGCTTGTCTTCACAAATAGCTGATACGTGGCAGTGTCTCTGTTAAAGCAGTTTCATGTTTTAGTCCCAGGTGACGTAACACCATTATATAATTTCGGGATACCATCAAAATGTAGATTGAAACAAAAATACTTAAACGCTCTTTCGTGAAGATCTTGGTACAAGTGCATGCTTCACACACTGACCAAATTCAGGAAATACCAAAACAGATGCAACAATACGATCCCTCCATCTGCAACAATTTCGATTTTCTAACTAACGTAAGTCGGTGGAAAGTAAACAGCATTTGACAGACGTTTTTCACGCCAAATTTTACTTGATATACCATGATCAGTAGCGTTCGTCAAATAAAACCAACTTTTGATCGATGTTGGCACACGTGATCAAAGTGCGACCCATTTCACACACACACATAGCTAAAATTAGATACCCATCAACAGACGGATCAGTAGGGATGTAAATAATACCTGATAAGCTCCGGTGAGTGATCGAGGCGCAAGCAAGCTAGATCATGCCGCAAGTCATGTCCTATCAAGAGTGGCCCATCTTCTAAAATACGTTTCACAATGTAGCGCACTCGTTTGAAAGATGGTGCCCCGTTAAAATCTGAAGGTTTGATTCCAGTTATCTCATACCTGTCGATCCCAAGTTAACAGCTTAATACCAGAATTTGAGTCCCCAGAAAAAGTTGGTCAAAACCTAAAACAAAAACACGAACAAACCTGCGTCCTACAGGAAGAGTTTGTAGATCTATACAAGCAAAGCAAAGTCCATCACTAAAATACTGCAAGAAAAAATGCGCACCTCAATCTCCTGAAGAGATATCAAAAGGAAGCCTGAAGTAAAGAAGAATTACACACCTGTAATCCGTGACTGGCAGAAGAGGTTGGACATAGGTGTTGAGCAGGACATTTTCATCCTCGTCCACCAAGCAAACTCGTGCGCATATGTTGATCGAGCCATCGCTACCTCCTCCAACCATCTCACAATCCAAGGCCACAGCCCCATATTGACGCTCTTCCGAAAAATGTGCCGCCTCGGCAGATCCCTCCGGAGCGTCTATGGCCCCTTTTATTGACTGCTCCATAGGTGTTGTTAACACCTGCCTTAAACCTACCAATTAGTAAAGATTTACGCAGGTACTATAACAGCGCATGGAACAAGGGACGTGCATAAATGAAGGCACAAATCTCAAAAGAAGAGAATATACCTTTCCAGATGGGCAGGCAGACATGAACTGACATTTAAGTCGATGATTTGTAAGCGCTTCCTCACTTTCCAGGACATCCAGGCACAAACTGCAGCCTCTTCTGGAAAATTCGGCTGCACATTCCTTTTTAGCCAAACGACCTGCGTTGATTTTCCAGTACAGCAACACATTCAGTTCAATTTTCTCTTTACTGGCTGACTTAACTTCACACGTCTTTATCTTCAAGGAATTCAAGTTGAATCAAAGCTCAGATTCTCTCTCAAAATTTCAATTGCGTAAGTTCAGGTGGAAGATGTACCAAGAAGATGTTCACGAAGAGCTTCAAAGCAGAAGCAGTGTTTGTGACACACACCACACTGAGGCTCATGCTCTGTATGGCAAGCTTTCTCCAAATGACGCACTAAATTTTCATCAGTTGAAAACTGCTTAAAGCATGCAGGACATCTGCACAAGCATTCTTGTCCATATTTTAATGCCAAACTCACAAAAAAAATGTTTCAACGCTACTTGCTGTAAATTCTCACACAATTTGGGAATTGTCTACGTCCAAAAAGCTCCGAGAAGAATCCAGAAAGGAAGCTGACTGTCATTCTAGATCTTTGCGTTGATGTGCATTTAAATAAGAGAAGATCGAGAATTGCCGACGATTTCTCGTTGTATCAAGGAGTAACCGATCATCCACAAACTCCCCCAGATATGTGCAGGATCGCCTCATCCGAAAGATTCCATGTTAGAGATTACAATCACAAAACTGGGAAAGCATCTACAGTTACGGCCCATTTAGCAGCAAGAATTCCAGTTCTAATTTTATGATAAGTTACAATGTGCACCCAGGCATGACCTGAAAAAGGAAATCGGAAACATCCCAACAAATCGCCATCCCTAAAACTCCCATTATGAATCATTATCCTACACGCCTCGATTTTCTCTCACAGAACCATGAAATAAAGTATTTCAAGACTTCCAATTGCAAGCCATCCACTGCGATGCCTTCCATCAAAAGAAACCTACCTAATACGAGGAATTTCCGTATTTCCTCCAGAGCTAGCTCCACCCGCCTTGGTTACAGGCTCCGAAGCCATCGCCAGAGAGATTCTCACTACGATTCACAACACAGGCTTCCCTCGCTCGCTTACTCACTCACTCACTCACTCACGCACTAACTCACTCACTCACTCACTCGCTGCAATAACTCTCATCGAGTTTCCGATAAGCGTCAACACAAATTCCACTTGTACAAACAAAACCTTCGCTACCCAGCTTCACTGACTGCGAAAGGGTCTCAGATTGAGAATGAGTGAGAACCCAAAACCCAGGCAAACGGCAGCGTTACAAAAGGATCGGAGAGCCATGAACCACTGGGTGTTTCCCAGCCATGGGAAAAGGAGAGCAGGCATGTTGGACGCCGAGCAAGAAGGCGAGCAGATGCACGAGGAGGAAGCATAGTAAAAGAGAATATTGATTTGCATATTAGGGTAAAGCATTAAGAGAAGGAATGAAGGTGGAAATGGAATGCATTGCATTGCATTGCATTGGTGCGACGGGGAGCCGAGAAAGAGAGAACGGAGAAGGAGAAAAGAGGAGAAGAGAGGAGAGGAGGTGCCGACGATTTGCACTTCCAGACTCTCGTGTCCACGGCTGTTCTGCCTGGAATCTTGACATTTTGTGATTGTTACCAACGACTGTTCTTCCTGGAATTTCAGGGTTCTCAAACTGATGCCTACGTCCGTTCTGTATGGAATTCGGGCCATGTCGAAGATGCTTGGATCTGCATAAGCGGCATCCCAACTTCAAGTCGGTTTTCGTCTACTTTTTTAAGTTGTAATTTATTCTAATAATAAAAAAACGAAATGAATCTTTTTTTAACTCTGAATAATATTTTTTAATTTTTAATTTTTGGATTTTTTTTGAAAAGCAATATGATTCAGTAGTATATTTACTTATGGTCATTCAATATATTTTTAATTCTTTAGAAATTTGTCATTTACCTTTGTAGAAACTAAAAGAAGCAGATATTATATTTAATTTGTGTCTAATTTTACCAATTTTTAAAAAATAATGTATAATCTTTACTTTTTATGAAATTTATTCAATATCTTTTATGTTTTTTATGTTTTTTTGTTATGTTGATAAAAAATTAAAATATTCATTAACTTTTATTTATTTATAAACATGGTTGCATGATTAACTATTTCAAATACGAAATTTGTAAAGCAAAAATATATATATATATATATAAACACACACACAAATTATCAGTTTATGGTAAATTATAATTAATATAATTCAATTAAAAATAATCTTATCAGAACATATACTTTGCTTTAAAAAAATGTCAAAATTCTGATTGAAAAACCTGAATAGGATTTATTGAAAACGTTTAAATGTGTTTTTTTTTTTTTTTTTTTTTTTTTTTTGGTGAGTTATGAGAAGCTTTTTTTAATAATGATATTTAAATATATATATATATATATATATATATCAAGAATTTAAAATTAATAGTTTTAATGTAAAAGTGTACAAAACCATATTTGTTTATTTTTTAAAATTATCAAGCATTATAATTGTTTTAAGTTGTACTAAAGTGAGAACAATTAATTGTGTGTTAAAAGCAAATCTGAACTTACACAAGTGTTTTACTGAATCATGTTTAACTTATGATTTCTAATTCTTTACACTTGGCATAATGTAAACAGTTATGATCAAATCACTAAAAGAGGTTTTCTAATTAGAATTGGATTTACATCAAAGTACATATGATATTGGTGTGTGTATGTGTATAAACATACATAGCACTACTTAGAGTTACCATATACATAATGTTTTAGCATTTTAAAACCCTAATTAAAGGCATGTTATTAGTAGAAACATCGAAAAATATTATTTCTGGAAGCACAAAAGAATTTTTAGACCTCATTTAGAAGATTTCATATGCAGTTTACTATGAAATCATATCTCGCTATATTGTTAATATCAGTACACTTTATACAATACTGAACATGTAATCATATAAAATCATCTCACCCAATTTCAAAACAAAAAGGTGTGACAACCAAGTTGAACATTATCTTTTTCTTCAACCTGAAAACAGTCTTTCCTTCTCTCACCACAACCACTATTCATGGCTGATTCCATGCTGCTGCCTAAACTTACGCATTACTTCACAAATTACACATATTACAGTTGCAGATCTGATACAAGTTGGTGAGATATGGATGTGGCAAACAGTGGAAAAACACCAAATTGGGTTGTCAGAAGTGGTTGAAGCAACAAGGTTTTTGACAATGCTTTGCATTCTTAGCGTGAAGTTTACCTACACTGAGAGAGAAAAGTTAAACTCAGCAATCCTTATTGAATAGGACTTAGCACTAATTCAAACCATAATCATGGGTATGATGTGTGTAAACATTAATCCAGGCGCTATCATTTCATGGCTTTCAAGCAGTGCCCATCGTTGCATCACTTCAATTGAGAGGGAAAAAAAAAAAAAAAAAAAAAAAAAAATGTTGTATGTACCATGAATAACTGCTCAGCGTGGAGTAATCGCTGCTTTTGTTGCTGCCATCCATCCATCCACACTGACATCGGTCACCACGCTACCCTACTTCACACCACCTTGAGGGGTGCGCAACAGGTGGTTGCTAAAACCCTAAAAAACTTCCAGACTTGTATTCTTTCAGTGATTCCTTCGATGGAGGTCTTGCAGGATCTGGATCAGAGCATTAGCAGGTCTGCATTCTTGGGTCATTGGCTGTTCCAGCGTCACTCTGTTGTGGAAACTGGTTGGAGACGGCCTGGACAAGTTAACTCAGCAAGGCGTGGAGAAAAGCTAGAGCTATTCCCAAACAGAGGATACCTGGAAAACTGGGAGACAGGGTTTTCCATTATATGCCATTTGGAACCACCGCCCACGACACACGTAAACGATCGTTCAGCTCGCTGATTTAGCAAAATATTGATGATTCTTTGATCAATAGTCTCAGGAAATGGAACTCTGGGATGAAAACGGAGCATGAGTCCAGCTTGTGTCATGACCCCCAGACAGGCAGCTTTCATTTGGTGTAGTCTTTACTTTCCTCTCTGGTCACATTTTATCTGGACTTTTGACTCACCTCACGATTTGCAACAGAGGGTTGAGAGACATGCATCCAATGCAATGCCGCATATTGAATTAGAAAAAAACTCAGACTAATGCGCACGGTTTTTGATTGTCTGATTGACTTGTTGCTGGAATCGAGAATGTTGGTCACAGAGCATTGGAAGCTTGGAATGTGCCATAACTCTGAGCTCTGAGGATAGAGAGAACTTATGGTCTGCCCGGAGACTCATGGGTCTGTGTTGATCTTCCGCATGGCACGAACCGAAGGAAGAAAGTCACCTTACGGCTGTGTTCTGGAGGTGTCTGAGGTTGCTCCTGCTCTCTCTGCTGCCCCTACCAACCCGAAGACGACTACAGGCATCACGAATTGCCAACTGATGTGTACGTATTGAGCTATATAGTCTAGCATTGACTAATTGTAGAGATAGACACAAATTGAAGGTAAAACCGAAACCAGGAGAATACCTGTTCAGAGATTGGCGATTGCCAGCAAAGGGCAGCCCTCGCTCGTTTGCGCCGTGGATCCAGCTTCCTGTTACGCACAGCCAAGTATATAAGCTCAAAATCATTGACTAAAACAAGATGTAAACTATTGCAGCACTCTAGAAGCACGGCAACTGCAGAAATTTGAAGGAAAAAAATAAAAATAAAAATAAAAAATGATCACGCACCTATTTTTGCGCTCCAGATTTGCTATGCCTTTGAACTTGGGATACTTCCACTTCACCTTCACGCCTTGTCCATCTAGAATATCCCGCCGCCCACTGGTCTCTCTGTTGAGAGATGGTCGTCTTCCCAATCTGTGCCGACAGGATGTGCTAGCTTCGATGGGAAAGCAATACTTAATGCTGCCACGGGAATCCGATCCTAGCCCTGCTCCAGTATCTCCTAGTCGACGGGACCGAGCTGCCAAACCAGTGAGCAATTCCTGTCTACTCTTGGGTTTCCTCCGCCTTTGCCGTGACTGAGTCAGAGGGGGGCTCTCCACAGATGAGACATTCTCTACAATAAAAACATGATCCTTCGCTCGTCCAGAATGCTTTACCTCGCTTGTGGATGGCTCGGACTGCGCTGCAATGTGCGATGCTTTGATCTCCTCGAGGACCACGCTAGGGGGGCACTCAAGGCTCAATTTGAGCTCCACAGGGCAGCCGAGTGCCATCTGAAACGCGTGGCAGGTGCTGCTCCGGAGACGCTCTGCTCGAGCTTTGTGCCCGGGACTTCGAAACTCCACATGTGCAACCGCAAATGTTTCGTCTGCACACCATTACCAAAAAAAGAAAGATGTACGGACAACTGACGTAGAATCACAAATGAAGATTTCGGTGAAGAGAGAGGCTGGAAAAAGTGGGGGGGGGGGAGGACAAGTACCTCTGGCCACAGACAGCGCCATGAGAGTCCCTTGCGAAGACAAAAGCTGTCGCAAGACGTTAGAGCGACACCCATCCAGCACCTTGCCCCAAATATCCTCCATGTCACGACGGGTGAGCATCCGGAAGTCGCGACTTCCAACCGCTTGGGAAGGATCAAACAGCACAAGGGAGCTTGCGGAACGAAGGCTCGTATCGTCTGCCTGGTCCATTGCAGACTCTGTTGCAGCGTGATGCACCTTTGATTGAAGTTGGTTCCCAGTTGGAGGCCCCTTCGGTTTTCCAGTCGGAGAAGCCGAAACCGGGGCCTTATCCTTGTCTCTATGACCATGAACAGGTTGTGACAACGCTGAAGAAACATCGTTCGGTACCTGCTGAGAATGTTTTCTTGAAGATCTTGACTCGCTGGCTGGTTGCGGTGGTGGGAGTCGAGGGGTGCATGGCTCTCCGGGCGGAACCCTCTCAAAGGTGTCAAAGGCAATTGGGCTTGGGGCCATGCTTGTGTCCACGGAAGAAGGGAGATAGGAGCGGTCAGGAGCGAATTGCAAGAGGGCGGCAGTCAGCCAAGTCGGCCTGTCGTTGGAGGCTCGCAGCTGTTTCTCACATTCCGCAAGTACTTTCAAGGCTTGCCGCAAACGTTGCTGCTCCTCCCTCCTTGCTGAAGAAAGACAGACCGACAAAATTCAAAACCGAAAACATCGAGACCAAAACAAGCACCCGAAGCTCTCTAAAACTATTTAACGAACACTCACAATTATCTCAAATTTCTTGGATTGGAACTTACGCATGTTGCGGTAGAAGAAGCCCTTCTTGCGAGTCTCCCGACGAAGATCGATAGCTCCAGCAAGGATGTTAGCGATGAGGGAAGCAAGCTGGGCCACCAGAGATAACGCATCGACTCCAGCATCCAGAAGTTCCCGCATGCCTTTCACAGTGTTCACCGTGTCAGCTGCCAACGCCATGTCGAGCAGGTTGATGAGCTTCTCCTCTGGAATCAGCCCTGACTGAGCAAAGCGCGCATCATCACATTCAAGGAATCACAATTCGAACGAGACAAATGACAATCAGGAAAACATAAACCGCCTCTCAAGGACATCAACAAAAGGCGTAATCTTCAGTGCAATGATCTCTCAGAAACTTCGGCCATGGGAAGTGGAAATATTTTATTTTAGGCCATGATAATCATAAAGTTGTGAATTATTCCGACGTACAAGTTCTTGGACCATGGCGAGAGTGATGGTTTGATCCAACAGACTGAGCTGATCGAGCATCATTTCGGCATCCCGAAGTGAGCCTTCAGCTCTTGACGCAATTAAAAACAGTGCCGCCTCATCAATATCGAGATGTTCCTTCTCAGCAAGTCCCTGAAGCCGAGTCATGATCTCCGACTCTTTCAGTTTTCCGAAGTGGTACTTCTGGCACCTACATTGAGAAAAACCTTTTGTGAGATCAACGATTGCTGCTGCATGTCCGAGAACCGCAAGTTCTTCGCCGCCGAGCACCAGCGTTCCAAGGAAGAAGCATTTACAGTTGTACAAAAAATATTCACCTGGAAGTAGCTGACAATGGAAGCCGCTCGAGATTAGTGGTGATGAGGATGAAGACGACATTCCTTGGTGGATCATCCAAAAACTTGAGGAAAGCGGTCCAAAGCTCAGTATTGAGGAAATCGCATCCCTCTAAGATGAACACTTGCTGCCGCCCATTCGAGGACGGGAGGTTCAGCAACAACCTCATGTGGTCGAGATCGGGGCAGGTCGAAACATCAATCTCTTTCACGTCCCTGCTTCGGTTGAGAGTCATGGTTGCACACTCCCGACACAAGCCACATGGTCGACGGTGCGGTTCTGTGTTAAGGCAAACCAACGCCGCGGCGAAAACTCGCGCACATGTTGTTTTCCCTGATCCACGCGGACCAGCGAAGAGGTACACGGGAGCCACTTTCCCTTTCGTGATGGCTGTCGTCAAGGATTTCACCACCAAGGTCTGCCCAACCATGTCTTTGAACGACTTCGGGCGGTACTTCTGGCTCATGCTCCGATGTGTAAATGCTGTCTTGCTATTGCTAACCTCAGCTCCCTGACCCAGGCATTTCTCCCCCGACAGACGAACAGAAGCGGGCGTTTCTCGTGCCGGCACATCTCGGTGCTCGTACCTTACCACGTCATGCTCGTCAATCTCATCAGTGGATAGTTCGCCTCCATTGAGTAGTGGAATGCCATGGTTTTCTGGATCAATTGGAACCTGGAGGTCGCGCTGTGAGCCATGTCGGGAGCTCGCTCTGGAGACTTGCTTTGAATCACCTAGCTTCTTCTTTGCAGTCTCGGGGAATGCACATGTAAGACCGATGCCTGCATAGTCGAGCAGGCTTTTGCCCTTGTACTTATTTGACCCAGAAGTCCAATACCACGGCATGCCACATCCATTTTGAGGGATCTCGGAAACATCGAGCTCATCGGACATGGTTGGAACCACAGGTGCTTCCTTGTAGCTTTGCATTGACCGTCGGGCTGGCATTCGCCCTCGGGAGTGTAATCCAACCCTAAGGCTGCTATTTCCGTTGACATCTTTGGGACGCCGCCGATTTCTGTGCGCTCGCACCAGTGGTGATCCCGCCGAGTTTGAAAGATGCGGCGACGGAATGCCCACCTGCTCGCAAGCCATCATCCCGGAGGCCTCGCCATCTTCGCTGTCGGGGAAACTACCCTCCGCCTCAGAAGTGGTGATGTCGTCACGAAATCCAAGTAGCGATAATCCGTGTGCTCTTGCTAGACTAGACATGTAAGAATGTGCAGGAGATGACATTTGCCCGTTCTGCTCCGCGATTAGCCTTCTCGCAATTTCCTCTGCATCTCCCTTCCATCTTTCCTCCATTCTGTAGCCAGCGCTCCATGGCGATGGTTCTCTGTGTTGTTGGGCCTTCGAGAACAGATGATGATCACGGTTGCGATCACTCCATTGCGCCAATGCGGCATACTCATCGGTATCTCTTCTTCTCCCCCTCGAGTCCCTCGCACTGCCCATTTGTTCACCAATTCCAAGTTCCCCATCCCAGGGTTGAGAAGCATTCTTGTTTTCTGTATTACGGCTTCTATTGCATTCCCGGCTGTGTGCATGATTGATTTCCACCTCTTCAGCGCCTTGATCCCTAGCCTTGCTTCGCCGCGGTGGACGCCGGGCTTTCTCCTGCAGTTGCAATGCATCTAAATGTGCTCCACAATTCGGTGCCCTGCTCTCATGCCGTGTGGTGACAGAGCTGCTCGCCGAGACAGGACTAAAAGAGGAGCTTGTGGAAGGGTCTTGCAGGGACTTCACCTTCTTCACTGCGGTCAGCTCCCTCCTCAGAGGAAGCTGAGGGGTGCGCCGAGGATCCAACATTCGATTGTGATTCTTCTGCATGTGGATGTGATTCTTCACGTGAATGTTGTTTGTCAAATGTAAGTGGCGCTTGAGGTGCGTCCGTGGGGTGGATTTTTCAGTTGCTGATGGGGAGCATGGTTGCGGAGCCTTTCCTGGCCTTCTGGTCATAATCTCCTGACACTATGCAGACCTCCAGCAATCGCCAACGATCTGCCACCACAGTATCCACCACACAAAAGATCAGTGTTCGCTGCAACAATGTCCAATGTACCGAAATTATTTGACCATTGCAGTGGTTAACCGCATGTAGGCATCGTTTCGATCTCGTATGCGTGAGTTCCACACACACTAGGAACATCTTCGAACTCTCGAAATTACTACCCAAGGCCAAAAGACTAAAAATATAAAGACTGGCTGAAAACTATCCAGATCTGAATCTGTAATAGCATCCTCCACATGAAGGCCCATTCAAGCATGCAGGCGAGGTAGAATCAATACCCCTTCTAAATGCGCTCTACTCAAACTTGGCAATAAGCGACGATTGACTTTCGACAACGTCCGGTCACTTCCTGGCAAGCTCTACCCACGACTGCTTATCACACTATCGAGGCCCCGTCCTACAACCTGACAAATCATTTTGCATCAACAAGCTCTGCACAATGCTTTCTTCCAAAACACAGTCGCGATTATGACCAGTCCGCAGGATTACTCAATGCTGCATATAGAGAACTCCACACCCGCGACAATGCTGTATAGACTCCGGGGTACTTCAGCAGGGACGATTGGAGCTTATCACATAACAGCATTGCGCGTACCTCCTGTGGGAGAAATTTATAGCAGTAACTTTCCGAATCGTATACAGGTATTAGTCAGAACTTGGGGGCAGTGATAGTTACCTATCCAAGAGGACTTATGGAGCACAGCTAAGTAGTAACGCCCCAAACTCAATCTACACATTTGTGGACGATTTGCAGAAGTAGTCCCACCGAACTGCTTCAGAACCATACGCAGCAGAGCAGCACCCTGCCCAGCCCAATCGACGATTTGCTGGCTGCAGGGCAGAATAGTCGAGACACCACAGCACCACTACCATCAATCCAGACTCTAGTCTCAAGCGCGCACTACCCCGTCAGATTATCCCCAACTTCTCAAAACTTCGAATCCTTTCACTCATCGAAGAACTCTGCTTTACAAGACGCTGAAATAATCAATCGTCGCCCAAATAATGCACTAGCCACACTGAAAGGCGCTTTCAGGCAAACCACAGCGACTTCACTCGCAATGGCAACAACGTAACGTCACCGGCACTCCCTCTCTCCATAAGACAGCAATAACTTTAGCACTCCTTCCGGCCTTCATCTACGCGAGCGTCAACGTCATCAGCTACCGGCACATAGAGACATAATTCAGGGTGCTGCATCCCCACGCCCTACCGCCTTCACAAGTTTCCAATTCCAACCCCGATTACTCGACATCTCACCGCACCCCCGCAGCTTCAGTGACTAGAAACCTCGACCGAATCGTCTCAAAAGGCACGCCTTTCCCTGGCACATCAAGGCTCACTCTAACCACATGATACCCTGTCCCTAGAGCTCGGCGACCAGAACGCTGTTCAAAAAAGCTGTAGTCTGATGCGTAACACCACCGCCACCCGTCGCCGCTCTCACTTCCTCCCTCCCTCCCACTCCTGCTCCAAACTGCATTGAATACTCAACTCCGAGAGTAGCCTGCAGCCACAAACCCCGAAGCAATGTCACATCCAGCCAACACTCCACGCTGAACCCTCAATCACCTGGCTATATCTCTCTCTCTCTCGCTCTCTCACTCTCACGCCACCGTCACGAGTGCAACGAGAAACTGGTTACGCCTGCAGCGGAGACAACGGAGCTGGGCTCTCTCCTAGCGTTGGCAGATCAAGGTCGGAAACACAGCAGCTCTTGCAGCCAGCCCCCCCTGCCCTGGACGTGACGAGGAAAGAGCTACAATGTGCCGCCGTATCTACCAAGCTCGTGACGTTTGTACCCCGGGACCGTCTGTACATATAGGGTAATACTCTCGGCTCCCCCCAATCTGCTCACTAATATAATTATGCTTTCTCGACAATTACTGTCACGTCAATGCAGTGCAGTAGCACATGAATAAATTCCTCAGAAGTGAAAAACGTCCAGGGAACCACATATTCGGGCTACGAGGGTTAAATTCCGGAGAACCACCAGGCTCTGATCCATGAAAGGGGAGTGAGCCGCTTTGACCCTTCATGAGGGAGGGACGATTGCTTGCAGTCAGCAGCGGTGGCTTTAATAGAAGGCTCCATCTCACGTGCAGGGGAACAGTGTGATTCATCGGCAGTATTCTCCTGGAGTTTTTCTGATCTGATGCGGGGATACCTTACATGGAATCAGCCCTGAGTCACTAGAGCGGCGCTCTCTTTGGACATGGCTACAGTCGTTGACACTGTTTACCAAGCTCAATTTGCTGCTTGTGTTTAAACCTCACAGTTATTTCACTTTGAGGAAAAGCGCTAGAAGTCCTAATTACCGTTCATTACATTTACCTCTCTTTGTTGAAAAAAAATGGGACCCATGTTCAGATTCCCAGCTTAAACTAGTCTAGTTTGGTGAACATGAGGAATCATCCACCCACCCAAGTATAATACCACAAAGTAGAAAACACATTGATTATGGAATTTTATTTAAATTTATTTTATACTGTTTGAATTACAGTTTTTGTTTCAGACGCAAAAATAGTTGAAGATTTTGTCAGTGCCCTGTATGCACTATTTTCTGAGTGAGAAATATACACTGTGAGCAGTCTAAAGATGGGTACAAGGGACAGCAAAGGTTTGCTTGTTGGGATCTAACTGCAGCTGGTATATGGTGCTGAACCATACCAAGAGCTTGTCCTTTTATTCACATGCTGAGCCACTAGTTTATAAGTCTATACAGTGCAGCAGTTTCACTTGGTCTGAACCCATCCCACAAAAGAGATGCCCACCCATAGCTGGTACACATCCTCTTTAATGTTCCACTCAGAATGATGCTGCTTCTGTTATTTCCAAAAATAAAATAAAATAATAATATTGAAATTGCCTAAAGACAGAGAGGGCTGGAAGCTTTTTGCTTGGTGACGGTGATGACTAGATCTGTCAGTCTCAGATTTTGCTGTTGTGCCCAGCATTCATGCTTCCCAAAATGCTCTGAAAAAACTTCACAAGCAAAATTTTGGGTGAGCAACAGCATTTAACCATATGTTCATTAATCTAAGTTTCCATCTTCTAGATCATGCCAAGCTCTCTAAAGTGGATTGATTAGCCGATAAAAAAACAGAATAATTTCCTTGGAATCTCAGCAAGGATTTTAGTGTGATTCAGGCTGCCTCAATAAGCTCTTAAACCAGATCATTAATGTAGAGTGCACTGTAGTAGCAAGCTGATTCAGGTACAATCTTTTTTTTTAAAATATTTATTTTATTTTATCTACATAAACAAGCAAATCAGATTCTACATTGTTAGCACCAAATTCAAAGATGCCTTCCTGTCAAAGGCACTGAACAGATTCACGCACACCAGGCCTATGATTTTTATTTGATAAATCATTAGTTTAAAAACAAAAACACCAAGTTGGGTAATAAGACAATTTGTTGACATGGGGTGTTGAGAAAGCAAAATGGGTCCTTGCAATAATAGACATGGAACAGTCTTGTCATTTGATTTTTTTGTAAATAAATGAGTTGAATGCAATGAAGAGTAATTGTGAGTTGATTCCATGGTCCCCAAATCTAACATGGTGAGCTTGGCAGCCAGCAAGCAGGAACCTTGAAAGACTGTTTAATGGGTCTGTACTTCTGAACACTAAAAACCTAAATCTTACATTTTGGAACCAGATGATTATACAGTTCTTTGTGAATATTCCTCCTCTTGCTCCAACCTGTCCACATCTTCATCATTGTAGAGCACCAAAACCTCCTGCAATGACCAAGCAATCTTCATGTATGGAATAAATGGAGAAATATATTTGTTTACGGTGGTCTGACAATCAGAAAAATTGGCTTTTACACTATTGACTTGATTATGCTTATAACTATTTTGAATAATAAGATGCTTTTGTCACATATATCTTTAAGCAAAGTATCTTCGAACATGTGTAGTTTCCCATATATACGTATATATATATATACATATACATACACACAATGTTTCCAACAATCCATGTATGAGACACCAAATTTATAAGAATTATAAGGAAAACTGTAGAACTTATGAATGATTTACATTTGGTAATTAGAACTGACATGATACATGAATCACATGTATATAAACTTCTCATTACAAATATAGTTTAAATCTATCACAGAATATTTTAATTTTAAAATGATGATACATTGATATTTCATAATTGGACACTAAGATTGTTATCAATTTGTTGAAGTAAATAATAATAATAATAATACTGATTGTGATGAAATTTTTCTAGAAATCCTTGAAAGTTAAGTTGATTGTGGAATATATATATATATATATATATATATATATATGTGTGTGTGTGTGTGAGTGTGTACATACATACATATAAAAGTTACTTCTAGAGGGGCACTTGAGAAGAATTTCGAATCATAAATTGATAAAATTGTGTGTTATAAACTATTTTTATTTCACAATAAACCAAAATTAAAATCAGAATAAATTAGTCCTAACAAAAATTCACAATAGCATTACAGTATAGTTTAGGGGTTATTCATGGAACAAATCCAATGTCGTTACTTAGTGTGAACCCATTTACTTTCACAACCCAGATCTTGATATGATTGCTAATTGGCAAGAATTTGAAATTTAAAAGTGCCAGTATTGACCATGTCAGCATTGACTAATGCATTAATGGAAGCACGCACACTCACAAAACTAAGCTGAACATATTTTAATCTGGAACCTCAAACCCCATTAATTTTGAAGTTAGCAGCTTAAGAGAAATGGAAATCATGGGCCAAATTTGAAGCTTATATTCCTCCTTTGGTTCCATGCAGTCATAGCTGGAGGTGATTGAACTGGCATGCTTTTGTTATTTAAAAAATGAAAGGGTAAGCACAAGACCAGTCAAAGGAGAAAAAACACAGATCATAATGGAGATTTTTGTTTTTCTGTGTTTTCTAACCTTGAAGTCAAATCCTCACGTCCAAAGGCCCACTGGCTTGAAGTCCATCATGTTGAAAAAAACATTGGATTCTATTACAACAACAACTACTACTACTGCAACTCCTCCTTGACCCCCTTTCTAGAGTGCGTCAATCAATCCAGCCTGTTCCCCTCACAAACTGATGGGATTCCCACTCACATCATGTCCCCCAAAACCCTAAAACTCCATGCATGTTGCCTCCAGAATTGTGTAGGGAACCCTAAAAACTCCACCCACAGTCATGCAGAAATAGTCTAGAAACCCATGAAAGTGAACCCCCTTGTTCCACAGGAATCATTCCAGAAACCCTAAAACTTAATTGGCCAGAATTGCCCAGTTTCTGGTTGCCTTGAGGTTTTTTTCTAGGCAAAGTGGGGATGAGATGTGGGATTGTCAATTCACAGACAAGCCAAGACTAAAGCCAAGCCTGAGCAACAAGTAGACTTAACACAGATGCAGGGCTGGATGAAGGGCCTGTTTGTTTGTAGCCTAACCAGATGTGCATGAAAGTCACACATCATTGCACAAATGTGCACAGAGACTTACTGCCCAGAATAAAATAACTTCATAAGCCTAGTTGTGACCAGGTGAGTTTGGCTACTACTGCCCACAGCTATTGTGAAATTGAGCTTGTGCTCATTTGAAGATGGCTTAGAGGGGCTGATGCTTTCTTATTTTTACTTTTTAATTTTTTTATTTGATTTTAATTTAACTTTTTAATTGTAATATTTCATGCAGTGAATTTTTTGTAGGCAGAACAGTGATCTGTTGATTACTCACCAAATAATATTCTTGATAACAATCATGACTATATAAACAAATACAGTAGAAGTTATTTTATTTTATTATACTTTAAAGTAGTAAGTATTATTATTATTATTTCTATCATGCAGGGATTATATGTGATTGATTTTATAGAATCATATTTCACTCATTCATTCAATACATCTTCTTGCCATGAACATGAATGACAAGAATGAAAAATGTGGTTTATTATTATTATTATTTTAAATAATTTATTCTTATATATTTTTTTAATTATAGGAAAAATTATTGCAACTGAATACTTTTATTTACTTTTGAGGTAAAGGAAGCAAATTTATTGCAATGGACCTAAGATTACCACAACAAGATGGAAATTTGACAATTTATGTGGTAATGAGAATTACTTGTAGAAAGAAAAATAGAAATGAAAGTAGAGATAATTACATTTTTATTGAGATTAGAATTATAAAAATTGGAACTCATTGTGGAAAAATGATAGATGTGTTTTCATGTCTATTTACTTATTTGTCTAATTTCTTTTGTTGATATCTTGTTAATATTTACCAAAATGATTTGCTTTGTCTAGTAAACTAATTCAATTCATTCAAACTCATATGCTGATTATTTCACTTGTAAGTAACTTTTTCTAAATAACATGAATGAACATATTGAGTGTGCATGTAGGCATATGATGAACATTTATTTCCATAATATTCTTAGGAGTTTCATCTGTTAGACTCTTTTCAAATTCATGGACACTGTTTTTACTGATCCCTAATTTTTCAGATTTTGATTCACAATGCCAAAATCTATATATTAATGCACTGATGCTATCATAAGATCACCTATCTTTGTATATGGTAAAGTTTATAGCAAGTCATATCACAGACAATAAGATTTGTGTTTTGAACACAATAATAATTTATAATCCATGTATACATTGTAATTTCAGTAATTGGCAAGTGTTATTTAATGGAGTCTTATTGTAGTTACTTCCAAAGAATCAAATAAAAAAAAACATTCTCTTATAAAAGCTGTTTAACCAGTATTGAATTCATATTATCACCTTTTGAAACGCTTTCAAGACCACTTTTACATTGTGCCAACAACACAACAATTGTCCATGTTGCATGATAACAGGAACCATAGTACCAGCATCACAATACAAAGGGGATTTCATACCCAAAGCTAGAGATTGAAAAGAAAAGAAAAGAAAAGAAAAAAATCCATTTTGTATAACTTTCAAAATACTTTGCTTCAACACTCATGAACTATTCCAACACACATACAAACACTATTTTCTACATGGAAGAAGTGGAGAAGCTTTGATGTCATAGGACCTCATACAACCAATAGAAAAACTGCTTTGGATAGTAAGAACCAGTCAAATAGAACAAACAGAGAGAGCAAAAAATCATTGGAATGGTGTTCATATCCATATGGGCATGAGAGAGAGCACATCAACTTCATGTACACATTAAAATCAAAGCCCATGCACAATTCCCAATGGGGGTGTTGTTGCACAGAACTTGGATTGTGAGAACTGTGTGCTCAGATTGGCAGCAGGGAAAAACAAACCCAAAGCACGAAACTGATCTGCTCTAACAAATATAAAATAATGACCCCCTCCCTAAAAGTACACTAGTGTCTAACCAAGCTGATTTTGCTGTTCAGATTTTGTATTATAGAATGCAATTCTTACTATAGTCTTGTGCTTTTTTACTGCAAGTCTGTATGCTTCAAATGAATGTATACATTTGAAAGTGTGTATGTGTATCAGCATTGTATTTTTGGATGCTCTTTCAACATGGTACTGAAGGAATAGTACCCAAGTTTTAGTTGACTGGCCAGCCCCTTGTTGTGGCAGCAAGGCTGTAAATTGACAGAAGAAAAGCTCTGAAAGTGCACAACCACTTTTGGAATGCTTCACTATAGATATCAGTTAGTTTTTCTTGTTATTATTATTATTTTTTAAAATTAAAATTTTTTTTGGTGTTATTTCTTCCTCTTCTTCTTCATCACTTTAAGAAGGGTACCAAAACCTGGCACCCAAAGGTGTGTCCATCTGGAAGATTCGCTTGCCATCGCATCAACCAAGAGGGAAACCTACAAAAACACTCCATAGTTTGGCATATTGGTCACGCTTGTTTTGTAGGCCCATTAAATGGTAAGCTTCCTTGGTCTCCAATTGATTTCCACATGTCTGATATGGGTCTTCTTCACAACCACTGTGCTCATGTATGTTTGTCATTCCATGCATTGTTGGACCAACCAGATGTGCGATTGCTTTTGCATTTGGCAAGATGAGAAAATCTATCACTTGTTGTCCAAGCACAGACAAAAAACACTACATGAAAACTAGCTAAAATGATAATTTTTTTGGGGTAGACAGGTGCGGGCCTCAACCTAACATTTTGCATAGCCTTACAATATTTGTTTATTGTACTTTAATGGTTGTTCTATTCTATGAAGGTCTACAATGCAACTACTCATTGTTATAGGGTTGTTAGGCAATTCCACACTCATGAAAATCAGATTGCAGCAGTTATTTTAATTTTTCTTTAATGTTTTTTGTCTTTATTAAATTTGAGGTGGGTGGGAGGAAGGAACAATCAAATGTACCAATGGGTAGGATGATACAAATAGAGTATGAGTGGATTGACATAAATTATGTTCAGTATGTTTGTAATACATGGCAGATCCTATAATAAAGCTCAAGAAATCTAACAATTACAAGGCCATACAGAAACATGATCACTATCCCAAGCCCGTTGCCACAACCAAATGAAACAAGTGTGACCATTAATAGAAGTTAGAGTTAGAAAGATATAAAAATAGAAAAATCAATAAAATTCCATTTATTGTAAGAAAAAATAAAAAGAAAATATAATAAAAGAAACCTCAAAAATGTTCAAAAAGCAACTGTGGTCAAATTTTATTTCATTGAACAGAGCCTTTATTTATTTCCCTTTTTGGCATTTTCCTTTATTTATTTTTAGAATTTGATGATGCAATTTTTTTTGAAATGTATCACATTGGCATTAGATGCTAATTTTTTTAAAAAATGAACACAAAAACTAACCTCTTGTTTGTTCTCCACACACATACATACATACATATATATATATATATATATATATATAGAAATAATTCACACATATCATATTCACAGAGTTTTTGCATCATTTTGAGAATTTATTTATTCTGAGTTTCAGTTCCCTCCTAAACAGTCCATGTATGTTATTCTAAACTCACTTCCACACCAACAAAAATACCAGTTTTGTTTCTACACAATTAATTTCACAATTTGTGTGTGTGTGTGTGATTATTATTTATTTATTTTTTGTTTTTCAAATTGGGGGGGGGGGGCAAAGTGAGGGCAGGCATGGAGCAGCACTTTCCTTCTTGTCCAGGTGCATGGATGGATGGGATGGTGCAGTAGAAGAAGAAGAAGAAATGGGGGGTGGGGCTGGGGGGGTACTGTAGTGAATGTGGAAACGACAAAGACCAGGGATCCTCCTCCTGTCCCCAAAGCCCTTCTCAAGTGGAAATGGATATGCAGGACAAGGAAAAAGAGGAGGAGAAGAAGGGCCAGATTTCAGTAGAAGCAGCAGAGACCAGGCTTCCCCTCTGCTTGTCCTCTGTTCCTGCTCCTCCTGCTCCTCCTCCTCCTGCTGCTCTTCTCCCTCCATCCCTCCCTCAGTCTGTCTGTGTTTGCATTCCATAGCACAAGCAAAAGGAATGGAATGGATCACAAGGGGACAGACAGACAGACTTCATATGGTTGCTCAGTAATTCCATTTACATAGCCTGCTCTACTACTACCATTACTACTACTGCTACTGCTAGTAGTAGTAGTAGTAGCAGCACTACTACTACTACTACTGCCACCACCACTGATGTTACTGCTACTTCTAGCCCTCCTCCTCCTCCTTCTCTACTTCCTACAAATGCTGTTGTTCCTCTTCATTGGCTTCCTTGCTGCTCCCTCCCTTCTGCCACATTCTCCTCCTTTCTGCCTTCCTCTTTTGGGCTTTGCCTTGTGTTGCTCTTGTCCATTGGGGTACAGTTGTGCTTGATGGGTGTCTGTGCAAAGCTTGCCACTTTTGCAAATTTGTGTGTGGGTTTTCTAGCTTGATGTCCAAAACTAGGCTTGAGGCAGCACAGTTTTTTTTATTTTTTATTTTTTATATTTCTAAGATTTTTGTTTTTGTTTTTGTTTAGTTTTTTCTTTTTTCTTTGGCATTTGTGGGTACCTTCCCTTCAATTAAGTTTTGGCTGGCCATGGGAGTACACAAGGTGGACTATTCAATGAGTTGTTGTTGTTATGATGGCTACCATTGGTTGGTGTGTAACTCTTATGGGCAAATGCTATGGATTCAGAATTGTTTGTTTGTTTAAGATTTCTGTATATATATATAATGGTATTATATTACCAGATTGGGTGATTATTTTTATTCTATATGAATATCACGTAGTCAATAGTTTCAAATGCAAACATTTATATAATCCTTTTTTTCTTTTCATCTTCTTCTTCTAATAATAAAATGGATTGTGTATTTATTATGAACATCTTTGATTTATTCAGAATATTTTATTTAGGTTTCAAATGTAAGCATGATTTTATTGTAAAAATTATATCCAATTCTAAACCTAAAATTATATTATTTTAATTTATATATTTAACCAACTCTATAAAAAATACAAAAATAAAATTCAAGTTAGAAACCATTAATTTACAGTGATCATAATTTTTTTCATTAGTTAAATCTATTTAAAAAAAGAGCATTATGTTTTTTTTATAGAATATTTATCATGCAATATGTTGAAATGATGCTTCAATCTTACTAATTTAGCACTTTTAGCATTCCAACATTTTAAGTATTGATAAATGATCTGTAGGATTAAAATTTTACAAAAGCCAAAGCTATAATCACTAAATCATGTCTTAATTTTAATTAATAAATTATTTATTTTGAAAATATAATTGAAGAAAAAAGTATATAAATTCTTTGAAAAAATTAAATAATTTTAGTTTTACAAATCAAGAATTGTGGTCATATTCATAAAATATAGAGAAAATAAATGATAATGTCAGCAAAATAAAATGTACAAATTTGTGAATAAATCTTGAAATGTACAATCTCACACATTCATATTATGAGCATGGACTCAAATGTACCCATTATCTACAAATCATCACACTATGCAACAAATAAACAAACATGCAACATCTATACAAAAACGCTGTCAATGCATGTTTGTTATGAATTGATTTCAAGTTTTGGTACATGTATATTTGATGTGATGTCCATGTGATCACATTACTGGTCAACACTCCAATATAGCAACAAAAACAACTTAAAATGACCTCTAAACTGTGGAATAGATAGAATGCACCCTTTTTTTCTGGTACAATGACATGGAACACCAAGGCCTGGCAGATGATTGAGGAGCTTGGCAGAATGAGGTATATAGTACAACTAAACTGACTCAGTCATCTTCCTGATTTGACCACCTCTCTATCCCTCACTTCTGCTATGCAAATTTTTGCAAATTATGACCTAAAACTAAGTTTTTCCAGCTCAGGAGATGAATCTATCTATCCACATACACAACTTTTAATGTTTTTTTTTTTATTTGTTTCTGACATCAGGATGTGATTCATTTGTGCAATTGTTTCTTTTTTTCTTTTTTTCTAACTCCTCACCAACCAATTCTGTTGCTTCATACCTCTGGCCTTGGCTGCAAAATTTTCGTCTTAAAGCTGTGAACCCACCCAGTTTGTCAGTCCCAACATTGATAGCCACGCTCCCACGCCTCCATTGTTGCTGCAGTGCACAAAGGTTGAAGCTCATTCATGACTGGAAACGTTTAGGGTTTTTAAGTCTGTGGAAAATCGGGGTTTTGGAAGACCCCGATGAGCATTCAAGCTGCTTGAAGAGGGCCCTAATTAGTAATCACGTCGTCCATAGTTTCAATGTGTTGTCGCTTTCCTTTTTTCGTTTTTTTTTTCCCTCTCTGTGTTTCCAGAAGCCCCAGAATTCATGTCCTCACATGAATGCAGGTGCGGGACAATTATCATTGAACGGTCAGTGAGATCGGAGGAGCCAGTTTTTTATAGAATTTACTGTGTACCACCTGATTTTTACTACTCGTAAGCTACGTTTGTACGTTGTTGAGCTGATCATAATGCTTCATACGGAGGAGTAGCAGCAAAGTCTCGGCTTGGTGATGTAGTGTGGGTGGATTATGTACCAACGTTTTTGCATACAGAAATGTTTCCAATACCGCACCAGAAGGCGATGCTTTGCGAAGCCCTAGCCTGTGGATGTTTTACGAAGCAATGTTCTACAGATGCATACTCCCGGATTGCACACACCTCGTTTTCGTTCTGGCACCTGCAATTACTGCTACAGCAACACCTGAACCCTTCAATGTGCACGATGAGCCTGGTGTGATCCTTCTGTTTAACGACAACATCGTTCTCACTTGTGGGTTGCAGAGTGACCTCTCTCCTTGGATGGAGGATTCCTTTATTGAAAGCCTTCACTGCTGTGTCGGTCTCTCCCAACGGATTTTAGTTCACCGCCATGTCTGTGCTGCAATGTACACTATACGGAGCTTCGTTACAATCTGTTCGGCTATTACGCTTTGAAAAGAGAATACAATTCTTGTGGGTGGGAAGTTTACTAGTAGGGAGTTTGAGTGCGAAACTCGCTAACTGCCACCGGCAGATGCTGCGTCGATTCCTTGCGGTTTAGTCTTCAACGGCTAACGGACTCGCTTTCTGTGGCTTACTACCTCCCCTCGTCCCCCTTCTTTTGCCACTAGGCGCTCAAACTTGCATCGGTTAATGGGTCGATTTGGTTGTATCTCTTCATAAAGCTACCTTGAGCTCTAGCGTCGGTTTGCAAGGACAGTCTTTCGCTAATTGAACAAAACCAAATAACTTTCCTGAAGGCGCGGCAGTGCATTTGTCACTTCTTGTGATCCGTCTACCGCTCTCCACAGCACAATGAGAGAAATTTTGCACATTCAGGGTGGACAATGTGGCAATCAAATCGGTGCAAAGTTTTGGGAAGTATGAAATCTTAAGCCCACTTCCGCATCTGTAATAGTACATTACAAAGCAGGAGTGACGTCCTCGTTTTGTCTCCGACATCTGAATTCCTCACAAAGAAGCTAACAGGCCAGAGAAATTGGAATAAGTATTTTTGGTTAGTGTCATTTATTGCTGCTAATTACGCAGCTTGACAAACCAAAGCATATATTGCGTCAATTACCGACGTGGACAATCTTGACTCAGATCGGTTGATCCGTAGGGAACGATCACTCGGTAACTAGAAAGTTTTGCAGTGTTTGCTTCTCCAGTTCTCTTACAACAGGAATAAACACAGGAAGGCTTCGTGATCAGAAATAAGGCCTCATTCAACCTGCTGAAATTAACACACAAATAAACTTGACGCTCCGGCTTGATGCAAAGGGTCCTGTTGCCGGAGAAGCATGATACATTGTGGCTGACATTGACTACAAAACTCTGGATGCTATGTAGGTAATCTGTGACGAACATGGGATTGACCCAACTGGAACTTATCATGGAGACTCCGACTTACAACTCGAACGGGTCAACGTTTACTTCAACGAAGCAAGTGGAGGCCGTTACGTCCCCCGAGCTGTGCTGATGGATCTGGAGCCCGGCACCATGGACAGTGTTCGGTCTGGCCCATATGGCCAGATATTCAGACCTGACAATTTCGTGTTCGGACAGACAGGCGCCGGGAATAACTGGGCGAAAGGACATTACACCGAGGGTGCAGAACTCATCGACTCCGTTCTGGACGTAGTTCGTAAAGAAGCAGAAAGCTGTGATTGCTTGCAAGGTCGACTCCGTCAGCCTCTGAATCTCAAAGGGTGTTGCATGTCTTGAATATGGTACCGCGTTTGGAAGATATTCTTGCTCTCCCAAGCCACCTGTCGAGTCCTTTGGAGGTGTTGGTTTCTGCAGTCGAACAGCTTTGCAGTGTGTGAGAGGTTTAGCTTCGGCTTAAATTGTTCCATCCTTGGTGAAGACAGGTTTTCAAGTATGTCATTCAATGGGAGGCGGCACAGGGTCTGGAATGGGCACTTTGTTGATATCCAAGATTAGGGAGGAGTATCCTGATCGAATGATGGTAACCTTCAGCATTGTGCCGTCGCCGAAGGTGTCGGATACTGTTGTGGAGCCTTACAATGCCACCCTCTCCGTGCATCAGCTCGTGGAAAACGCCGATGAATGCATGTGTCTGGACAATGAAGCGCTCTATGACATTTGTTTCCGAACTCTGAAGCTCACAACACCCACTTGTAAGTGACATCTTCTCTTGAATGCATCCATAATTAAAATTTAAAAAAAGAAAGAAAGAAAGAAAAGAAAAAGCGTGGTAAACTTGATTCGTGAAAATGTGCTTCGAATTTCAAAATCACTTGAAGTGATGATGATGATTTGACCAGTGGTTTCGTTGTGACAGTTGGTGATTTAAATCATCTCATCTCGGCGACCATGAGTGGTGTCACTTGTTGTCTCCGTTTCCCCGGTCAATTGAACTCCGACTTGCGCAAATTGGCTGTAAACCTAGTCCCTTTCCCCCGGCTCCATTTCTTCATGATCGGTTTCGCACCTCTCACTTCGCGAGGCTCCCAACAGTACCGCGCGTTAACAGTCCCCGAGCTCACGCAACAAATGTGGGACGCCAAGAATATGATGTGCGCTGCAGACCCTCGCCATGGCCGCTACTTGACAGCGTCCGCCATGTTTCGGGGACGAATGAGTACCAAAGAAGTTGACGAACAAATGCTAAATGTACAGAACAAGAACTCCTCTTACTTCGTGGAGTGGATACCCAATAATGTGAAGTCAAGTGTTTGTGATATCCCTCCCAAGGGCCTAAAAATGTCCGCAACGTTTATCGGGAATTCCACCGCAATCCAGGTACGACTGACATCCATAACCGATTTGGAAAATTACATATCTCTATCAGTTTGCCGGTGTGGTTCATGCAGGGGCTGCATACTCACGTGACGAATTGTTGTAGTCTAGAGATTTGTTCTTGCTGAAGAGGTGTTGATGAAAGTTGCAGGAAATGTTCAAACGTGTAAGCGAGCAGTTCACGGCCATGTTCCGAAGGAAAGCTTTCTTGCACTGGTACACTGGAGAAGGAATGGACGAGATGGAATTCACGGAAGCTGAAAGCAACATGAATGACCTGGTTTCTGAGTATCAGCAATATCAAGATGCATCGGCAGACGAGGACGGAGAATTCGAGGAAGGCGAGGAAGAAGCTTGTTAGGATGGGCTATCCTTACACACGATATTAGTACATAGTAGCAGTGGTATGTACAGTTCGCACTTTTAGGTAAGGTCTAAGCGAATTCGTAGCCACGTAGTTTTGCACTATGTTATTCCAACACCGGTGGGAGCACAAGCTTTTCTCACACATCAGGTTTAAAGGTAACATCCTTGTTTGTGTACCCTACGAGAAATAGAAACAATGTTACAGCTATCTTTGCCTACGCCATAACCCTGAAACTTACGATTCGTAGAATAGGTCTTACATCATTCATGTATATCATTGATTGACACCGACCTCACGTCCTCAATCGCAATTAGAAATTTAAGACAAAAAGTATCCATAGTAAAGGTAATACCTTAGGAGCAGTCAGCTTCATGAGGAAGCTTTCCTTGAATAACCTGCGCCCATCCAGAAAGAGCATGCATTTCGCAGCTGCGCAAAACAGCGGTAACAAAAATAACGGGAATTCGAAATCATGACGATACAAATCTATCACCCGCTACTTGAGAGGGTACTCTTGGAATGACCGAACGCAGCGTAACATTGAACTGGCGCAACCGTGACGGTGCAGCTCGTTTGCTAGAAACTCGATACACGAGTCAAAATTATGAACAGAAGGTTCGTCTAAACCCGCATAACCAACCCAGTAGAGGCGTCGCTCCAAAGAATGTCATGCACTAATAACCTCTCCTCTCCTCTCCTCTTACCCATAATGTACAAAGGAGACGGTGTGGTGGCAAGAGGCATAACACCCAACATATTTATACAGACTTATCCCTCACTACTAATAAATCTCACGTTGTAGGCCTCCAGTCGGGTGATTCTCGCAATGTCACGTGATCTTTTTTAGGCTATTCAGCTCCCTATTTAATTCTACATAAAACAACTCGACAAGCCACAAAGCAGACGCCCACTACAATATAGCATTACAACTATAGAGTATCGCCAGCATAACCTTGGCTCCAGGCTTTGCTCTAACCCTATGATCTGCCTGGAATGAGAGAACGACATTAATATCTAAACCAGAGTTACTCAACGGCCATGCTTGTATTCCAAGAGCACGCTGTCATGCATCTAAAAGGCAGAAAACTCCTCCACAACGCTAATCACCAATTTCAGAACGAAGCTCTGCTTTGATGGCTCTGCGCAGCTGCAGTGTCAATTCCGCGCCGAAGTCTAGTTTCATCAGGCCCTCGGAGCAAGTTCAAGCAAGAGTACCGCCAGTGTAAGGGTATTTTTGTTGCCATCCACATGGGACCACCGTGAGCATGGCAGTGACAACTAATGCATTCTGCCTGCAGATTCAATGAAAAGATGCCACGGGATGCACTCGTCGGAGAGGCTCAGAATCGTCCAAGGGTGAACCTAAAACCAGCCATCCAGTGAAACGCACAACCGTGAGCAAGGTGCGGCCTCATGCGTTGCCTCCTAGCTTGCCACGCTTGCCTTCCCTCTGCCAGTCATGTGACGAGGCACCTCAGCGCCAAGCTTCAAGATATCAGAACCTGGATTACGCGGGATCTCCGGTCGCTTGTACAAGGGGCTCTTGGAAGCAGACTGCACAGGCATGACGCGCGGCCAGTCCACTTTGTGCGTCACTGACATGATCGACGACCTGTCTGCCTTGCTCTGGGCAGCAACAGTTTCCCCAAGGAAAGAATTCGATCTGGGTGCACTCCCTTCAAAGGAGCGAGGTGAAACAGAATCCAGCCCACCGTCTAGAGAGCATCTGGTCCCTCTCTGGCCGTGCACATCTGCTGCTTTGGACTGATCGGAGAACTCCAGCGTATCTATCGAATCACGTGACAGACTGTCTCCCTTGATCTCGCCCATCGTCTGGGGCGCCAGGTACAGTGGACTAGGCTTACTGCTAGAAGGAGACAATGACCTTGACCATGAATTGCTCTTACTACCGATGGTAGTTTGGGACTGCGGATCCGGCTTCGCCACAGAAGGAGAAGACAATGTCGACTTGGAGGTAGAGACTGGCGCTTCCGGTTTCGGTGAGAAGCCACGTGACATAGGATTACTCATCCCAAGGTTTTGCCTACTGTCCAACGCGGTAGAGTTTTTGGGCGTTGTTTTGGGTGTGTCCACTTTAAATCCCCTGAGGGGTCTACGCCGGCTACCGGACCGCGAGAAAAACCTCCACGGTGATGACTTGCTGCTCGGGTGCGGCACAGGTTGGATTGGAGAAGGAGCGCCCTGGGCGAGGTTACCATCTGGAGTTCGAGGGCCATGATCTATGCCGGTTTGCACTTGTGGATCACTCTTTGCCTCCCGAGTGCTCTTACTCCTCCGCCACCGAGTCTGCGGGACTTCCGTGGAACTCGATGTGTGAGTGAATTTTGACACTAACAACGAGGAAGCCGATCCAGGCGTGATCTTCCCACCGCTGATTGAGTTCCGCTTCAATTCCCCATTAACTCGTCCAGGTTCACTATGCGATGCGTTCTGTAGCTCGTATGCTTTCTCTTTTCTCCCATCTCCAGTCCCCTTCAGCCCATGGAGTTTCCCGTGCTGCTTCTCCCTAACCTTCTTCTCATCAATCTTCCTCTTCTCTTCCGGCTGCCTGTCTGACTTCCACAACGAGGTGAATGCACTTCGGAGCGATGATATCCGGTGCACGGCACCTCCCCAAGTTAGCCTGCCTTTCGACCCCGCAGCATCTTTCAGCTTCCGAGCATCAGATGCGCTTCCATCTTGCGCAGAAAAAGATCCTTTGGGCTTAGATTCCTTTTTACTACGAGTTCGATAGCTCACGTTCGGGTATGTAGGTTGATAGCTCTGCGCATTGTTGTCTCTCTCTCGTGAGAGGTCTGTTATCGAAGTTGATGAATAAGCTCCAGTGTAAGAATCGAGTGGCTCTTGCTGGTATTCGCCTTGGTACGCAGCGAGCTTCTCAAGTGACGTTCGTAAACATTGTGCACAGACACCTTCGCCTTGCTGTCTTGGGTGCCACTTACACCCACGACCAGAATTCCCTCCTCTATCTCCCATTGTTCTAAATCTCCATGTAGCCGGAGCTTCTTCACATTTCTACAGTAGAACAGAATGCCCAAATCCTCTTGCTCAACGATATCAAGTTCTCTGATCTAGGCGTCTAGGTTAATTAAAATCTGCAAAAGCCAAGCCAAGCAAATTATAAATTGAGTAAATCTGTCTCCACTGAAAAGTCATAACATGGCTGTGAATTACAAAATACTTTCTCCAGGGAGACAGCATGAATATAGAATTTTCGTTAAATAGTTACTAGAGCTCAAGGAAAATAATTGTAGGTGTGAAAAAAAAAAGCAAATCACATTGTGTGAAGTGAAAATAAAGAAAAGCTAGCAGCGAGAAAAAACAAAGTCGAATTTCGTAAGAAGTTCCCAAAAATGCAGCGCATTCAGCAGGTCAACCAAACAAAAATAATCAATCCAGAGTTTGAGCAGAGAAGCGGTCTAAACAGACTCTAAAATCGATGCAAACAACGATTTACGAAAATAGGAAGCCCATATCCACCACACTTAACGATCGCTCTAGTATTTGCACAACCCTAAATCCAACAAGTTGGTAGGGCCGGAAGATCGTCGCGATCACCACGGCCGGAGAAGCGTAAGCACGGCCTGCGAAGAATGTTACCATAGACTATCCCCAGTCCTGTGAACTGCCGTAAAAGAAGTTCACCCCACATCACTTCCATGTGCACAGCTCCCGCATATCACAGCTCCACACCTGAAGGTTGGAAGTTGGAAATCCAATATGGGTACTTCTCATCTTCTCAAATTGAACGGAACCCCTTAAATTTCCCTTTGATCCCGTGCATCTCTCCTCATGACAAAGCCCGGATCTACCTATGAGGATCAGGACGCGCAGAATCCAGATTGCACTAAGGCCAAAATTCAGATTTCAAAAATCTCGAATGAGTTGAGAAAAGGCCCTTGGAACTGCTCCAACGCAACTCAACTACCGAGCAGGCAGAATAAGAAGGTTAGGAAACAATAGAACCAGCCAAACACTTCTCCAGATCCACAAAAAAAAACTCCACCTTCGTCCAATCAACACAAATTCCCCAAAGATTCTAAGCATAATTTGTCGGCACTTCACGTACTTGTTGAGCCAAGCACGAACAGATACATTGATCTAATAGATACCTCAGGCGATCCTTGCGTCTCAACCACCTCACTTAGACGACCGTCAACATTCGCCCTGCAGCCGCAGCGCAGTTGATTCCAGCATTCCCAAACCCTAAGCTCGCTGTTGTTCTGCACACTATTTATTACTGCTCACATAGCGAGAAAAAACTTCCTTTGATTCTAAGATGGATGGATGCGAAGTAGAGGTAAGAGAGGGGAATTAAAGACCGGAACACCACACATGCAACCTTGCAACCTCACCTTCGTTTCCGTAAAACCACCGCCATAACGAGCAATGAATCAACTTGTCCTCCAGATTCCTGCTCCCATTATTGACAACTCGTCCCCAAGCCTGATCTACCTAGTGAGATGCTTCCAAAAACACCAACCTCCTGCCTCAACCTCAAACCTCCAACCCCGTCAACGCGAGATCACACGAGTACTACAACCCACGAAGGGATCTGAACACCAGGCAGCAAACTAAACGCCTCCACAAGAACCCTACCACTGCCCATCTTAGGCACGTAAATTGCTAACTTCAGCCTACAGCGGTCCCTCCGAAACATCCAAACGGGAGCGGCCGTTGACCATGAAGCGCCACACCCGACTCTACGTCAAGTTTGAACTCGGGTGCAGCACCAGCACTAACAAACCACCCAAGTGCTCTTTGCTGAAGAACAATCAACCCGTTAACATTCACCCACATTTCGCCAGGCCGAATCCAAGACAGAAAATTGCAAGTTTACACCCCCCCCCCCCAAAAAAAAAATTGTAAATATATATATATATATATATATGACTTAAGCATGGACTAATTCCAATCATGGTCCAAGCGACGACGGTAGACCAGAACTCGGAGCTTCTGTGAAACCCACCCGGAAGACTGGGAGCCGGGTACAATATATTTGATTTTCCTTTCCCTTGTTTCCCTCTCTGATGTGCTAAACAAAGCAAGCCGCTAAATTCTCTCGCTTTCTCGACTCGGTCCACCAGCAGCATCAGCATCCAACTGCTCCCCACCCAAATTCTTCTTGTCTGTTTCCTTTCAACTTCCTGGCCCTGGGTCTTTCCCCCACTGTTGCTACTGCTTCTTCTGCTTCTACTACTCCTACGCGTGCAGCACAATCAGCCTCTTTTTTTCGGGGACGTCGTCTCGGCATCGTCGTTGGAAGGAGGGTTGATGCGCGTGTGTGTGTGTGATGAAGGTGGCAGCCAGCCAGCCGCGGTGGCGATGACGATGTCGATGGTGGACAGTGATTGTGCGCGGCCGCTGGCAATCACCCATGCTGCTGCCTTCCTTGCCTTGGCTCCCTCCCTCCCTCCCTCCCTTTTCATGGGAGGGGGTTTTTTTTTCCCCCCCCCCCCCCCCAACATCCACGCGCTGCAACACTCTTTCTCGCATTTTGCCATTGTTGCTTCGACGTTTGTGTTTTGTTTTGTTTAGTTTTTGTTTGTTTGTTTGTTTTCTTTTTTGTTTTGTTTGTTTTTTTTTTCTTTGCCCCTTTTTACGCCCCTTTAATGTCGCATGTTCATTGAGGGGCTTGCTCTTTCCTGGGAGTTGTGCTAGACATGAGAAAGGAACTTTGTCTTCTGGATAAAAGCAAATAGAGAAGGGGGGGGGGGGGGAAGAAAGAAAAATAAATAACGAAAATAAAAATACTTTAAAGTGGAGACATGGGAGGAGGCGGTTCTACTTGCCAATCTCTTCATGTGTTCGGATACGGTGGGACTAGTGCTCTCTCTCTCTCTCTCTCCACGAAATTACGTGGCCTGTAATGAAAAGAAAAGGAGGAAGAAGACAAAAAATTAAAAATTAAAATGAATGCTTATTCAATCCCATGTTCCCATGCATGCCAACAAGCGTCGTGATTTGACTGTGCAAAAAGAGGCGAGGGGAGGCGAGGGAGAGAAGAAAAAAAAAAAAAAAAAAAAAAAAAACTAACTGCCATTCATTACCCCATTTAACAACTCTTCACTCCAGTCCCCATGTCAGGATAGAAAGAAAAAAAGTCTTCTTACACTAAAGCCTGACTAAACCATGGTCAGTGCTTTTCTCCCATTTTGTAAGTGTAATTGTGTGTGTGTGTGTGTGTTCCCAAGTCAGTTCTCAAGTGCCCATGAAACCAGTGAACTCATTCTCGAAGTTAGGGTTCAGGCTGCCAGTCATTAGCAGGCAACTTACAAACAAATAGGGTAGAAAGGTACAGGATAAAGTTTTGGGAAGAAGTATTTGATTCAGTAGCCAATTCTGTTATGAACTCTTCCCACTTGGGTATTGAAGTAATTCAAAGATATTCACATTTGACCTTGACAGCCAAGAGATTTGCATCAATGGGAGACTAGGGTTGAGGTTAACAATCCTCGTGTTTTATTTTTTATTTTATTTTTTCAACCCCATCTGACAACCCCTATTTAAACACACACCCCCTTAACTCAGTTCTTAAAAGGCCTTCTAAACCTGACTCCTGGGGATCTAATGCCACCCAATCAAACTACCAGCAGTTTTTCTCACCCGACTGAGTGCAGATATACAGCTAAACTTAAAACTGCAGGGACATGGGTTTAGTAGTACTACCACACACTGTACCCCCACAAAACACACATGCCAATCATTCAAAAGAGCCCAGAAATACAATGCAGGCAAAGGGGGGGGTAGGCCAGTTCAGATTATAAGGTGTTGCAAACATCATGGGATATTGATGAGAACGTGGCAATACTGGAAACAGTGGGATTTAGGAAAAAAGCTGCTGCGGGGAGAGAGAACAGGTGATTGGGGGTGTCCCCTGGTCAAAAGGCAAACCTGGTGAGTGAGCATTAATAATAAAATTGTGGAATTGTGGAATTTCTTCCCATGCAGGGAGGGCCCCGCGAAGCTGAGGATCTCATGTTAAAAAAATAAATATGGAGGCCGTGGAGCTCAACAATAGGAGGCCGATTTCATTCCCTATAACCAAATATGTGTTCCCAACTGTGTGTAACCCATAATTCTGGATTTTATCTACTTTTAGTTAATTTTGATTTCTCTTGGGTATGTGATTTTGCTAAACCCTAGGCCAATCTCCTGGATCCTCTTTGGGCTCAAACATCTGTCAGAATGACACTTTGAGCCCAACTTTTTTCTGCTAAAAGCCGATTTTTGTCACTGTTGTGGAGTGCGATAGACATGGAGCTTTGTAGAAATAATCACATCATTATATATTAATATATATATATATATATATGGAGAGAGAGAGAGAGAGAGAGAGAAAGAGAGAGAATTTGGGTTGATTTGATTGGCACAGTCACATTGTGGACTGTGGACACTTTTGCCTCAACGCCCCAAAAGTATAAAAAGCTGTTTGGGTATTTGTGTTTGTGTTTACTTCTCTTAACTACACATCCGTGAGTAAGTACAAACATAAAAATTTAAGCAAAGAATTCAAAGGCAACAAGCATACCAACTCCCAGTATGGCTTACTTTCGATACAGGAGGACTTCACCACTACGTCTTCTCAAAAACTACGTTGAAAAATATTCTAATATATTTGAAGAGACCGAGCACACAATAGAGGCAAATGGAGGGAGACCTTCCACTGTGATATCGTGGCCGTTATGCACTGCCACGTAGGATCACCCTCAGATCGAGATAAAGAGGGTATGAAGTCCATGATTTTTACTAATATTTATAGCGCATTAGAAGCGCAATCGACGAGTCTAAGGGCCAGGAGACTTCTCCGGGGAACAACTGTAGTGGATATATATATATATATATATAAAGAGTGTGGACTGGCAATTGCAGATGTCACGCTGCAGGCACGGCAGGTGCAGTGGCAAGGGCAGCAGTAGAGGGCAGTGTGGACAGGTGGGGAATATATTTTCTGTATCTGCCCGTATCAGGCGAGCATGAGATCCATGGTCCCAGAGAGATTGCCCTCCTTCATTCAGTAATTTTCCCAATTATGGGCAACAGTGAATTTTGTTGACCTAGAGTCTCATCTGCCACACACGGTCCTCATCAATATATTTTTTTAAATGAGGATTTAAAAGAAAAATAAATAACGAAAAAAATACTTAGCGAGAGAGAGAGAGAGATAGATAGATGGATACAGACAAATGAGCATGCCTCCTTCATTGAGCTTTAAAATACATTTTGGCTTTTCAGCGTAGTCTTGATATATATATATATATATATATATAAATGTTTATGTGAATATTCATATTAACTGGTCTGAAAATGGATGTTGAGATTACCATTTTCATCCTCCTCAGCATCTTGCAGCTAATTTGTAACACAGGGTATAAATGGGAATTTGGTTCTGTGGGTAGTTTTGATGTTTTGATATTTCAAAGATTAAGAAATAACAATAATAAATCTTAATATATTTCTTGTCTTAATTATTGAATTGACTGCCTTTTAACCACAAGCGAATTTGAGCAGCTATACATTTGCTGAAGTTGCATAATGTATTTTGTTTAAATCATTCTATGAAAAATCTTTTTCACTTTCTACATTTCTACTCTGAAAATGCAAGCTTAATTGGTGTTGGTTGATTATTTCCAGAACATTTTCCTTTGATGCCAAGTTTACTTTATATTTTTATTTTTATGTTGAACTATTTAAAATTTTAAAATCAGATTATGAAAAATTGATCGAGTACAAGTATTTAAAAGAATCAATTTTATTTAAGAAACTATAGTTGTTTTACTCAATAGAAACACAATCTGTTGATATATTTTGTTTTATATAATCATTGAAGAAATATAATGACATTCTGTAATCAATTTTGCAATAACTAAGTAATAACAAATTTGATGTTCAAAGGTTTTTTTATTGATATATTGTATGTGAGTATATACATATTATTATTAAAGGACATATTATTAAATATATACAAATATTGCATATATATATATATATATATATACATACATATACACACACATATATGTTTGACAAAAGATAGAAATTCAAAAGTAAAGACCAAGTCTTAAATAGCACAATTAGTAAATAATGAATACTAATCAACTTGTTTTTCATGTGATTTAAGATTACAAAAGATTGTCATACTTAGAGTCGTAAATTGAATTATTTTTTATTCCAAAGCTCTGGAAATAAAATGCTTACAAAAAATATATGTGTCTAGAATCATAAAAAATAAATTTTTATACATATATATATATATATATATATATATTTACACACACACACATTATAACTAAAGCAATTATCACTTCCAATACTCCCTATTACTATTAAAATTTAGAACAGACATTCATCAGTAATTTTGTAATGGAATACATTTCTGTGCTATACACAATTCTGAAATTCAAATTTTCTTAATGAAATTTAAAAAATGAGTTGTAAGTTCAAAGATTAACCAACCAAAATTAGGAATATGTTATTAAGAAACTTAGATTATTGCGGTTCTCATCTAAACAACAAAGATTATGAAGTGAGATACAAATAAAAACTGTTTTGTAGCTCAAATTGCATTGTGGTAGAATCATTACAAAAAGGAGATTGAATGGAATTACTTTAAATGTGTTTTTGGATGGATTTTCTTATAGATTTCAGAGATATGATATCAAAGTTTGCAACATATGCAAATAATTAAAAAATAAAACTAAGTTTATACATATTATTAAAAGACATCAAAAAGGATATTATTTTCATATTGGTTATATATTTTTAAAATAAACATAAAATCTAAAAAAATACATCTTGCTAATGGTTATATACCAAAAAAAGTTTTATTATAATTGAAGCATGTGTAGAATAATGTTTTTT